AGATGGCCACTACGAAATCTGGCCATGGCCGATTGGAAAGGCCGAGGTCCGCAGCATGTAAATGATAGGCCAGGGCGGTTGCCAGCATTCCACTGATGGGATGGAGTGCGCCGCCACACTGGAAGCAAACGGTGTTTTCCCGTGGAGTGGATCTTAGTGGGAGTTAGACGGTTCAAACAGTTCATAGGAAGATCACAGCCATTCTTGGCGAGCACATCGGCTGTCTCATTGCCCTGTACCCCGACATGCGATGGGATCTATTGGAGGCTTATTGGTGTCTTCAGGCCTATCTCGGATAGAAGCTTCATAATCTCCTGGCCAGGAATATCAAATATTTCCGGCCAGTTCTTGAAATACTGTATAGCAATCCTACTATCGGTCAATATCCAAATGCAATTATTATCAGTTGTCTGGGAATAATTAAGGGCAGTTCCAATAGCTCTCAGATCTAAAGACTGAGCAATTGTCAGGGTTTCGGATTTTTTCAGAGTTAACAATAGAATTGGTCATTTCAGGGTCACTAGACTGATAGGTGAAAAGAACTGCCTTCATTGCTTCGAGACTTTTATATTATCACAATTATTTTTTACAGTGAATTTCTGTTAATTTCCTTAAATACGTCTTTTCACTTATGCGGTTATTTACATCAGTTCCCTGAAAGACATCTAAATGGAGCTTTATTGTTTGTCATTTTTTATTTATTTATTTTTTATGAACATAAAAATGAGAATTCCATTCTGTGTAATTTTCAGTTTAGCTTAGAATTGAGCTTTAATTTTTTCAGACTTGGGCATTCTAAAGTCANAAAGAAATAAAAACATTTCTTTTTCAGAGTTGTTGTTGTTACACATCCCCCTGGAGAAGGAAAGCCTAGACCAGGTCCAGAAGGCCCCGTCGCGTCAGTTTCCCATACATCTGCAAAACTTCCGATCAACCAGCAGCTGCTTAAAAGAAGCGCCAAGGCAAAAAAAGAAGGTCATCAGGACTAGCAGGTTGTGAGCAGGAACAAGGTTGGAAAGTCTTCTCTCCATTTTGAAACCTTAAACACTTAAGATGGCCACTACAAAATCTGGCCATGGCCGATTGGAAAGGCCGAGGTCCGCAGCATGTGAATGATAGGCCAGGGCGGTTGCCAGCATTCCACTGATGGGATGGAGTGCGCCGCTACACTGGAAGCAAACGGTGTTTTCCCGTGGAGTGGATCTCAGTGGGAGTTAGACGGTTCAAACAGTTCATAGGAAGATCATAGCCATTCTTGGCGAGCACATCGGCTGTCTCATTGCCCTGTACCCCGACATGCGATGGGATCTATTCGAGGCTTATTGGTGTCTTCAGGCCTATCTCGGATAGAAGCTTTATAATCTCCTGGCCAGGAATATCAAATATTTCCGGCCAGTTCTTGAAATACTGTATAGCAATCCTACTATCGGTCAATATCCAAATGCAATTATTATCAGTTGTCTGGGAATAATTAAGGGCAGTTCCAATAGCTCTCAGATCTAAAGACTGAGCAATTGTCAGGGTTTCGGATTTTTTCAGAGTTAACAATAGAATTGGTCATTTCAGGGTCACTAGACTGATAGGTGAAAAGAACTGCCTTCATTGCTTCGAGACTTTTATATTATCACAATTATTTTTTACAGTGAATTTCTGTTAATTTCCTTAAATACGTCTTTTCACTTATGCGGTTATTTACATCAGTTCCCTGAAAGACATCTAAATGGAGCTTTATTGTTTGTCATTTTTTATTTATTTATTTTTTATGAACATAAAAATGAGAATTCCATTCTGTGTAATTTTCAGTTTAGCTTAGAATTGAGCTTTAATTTTTTCAGACTTGGGCATTCTAAAGTCAAGTTTGTTTTGGAAAATGTTTTTAAGAGATACATGGTATAGTTTGGAAATTAATTTTATATATCATTTGCTTTACGCAATCATGAACGTTAACGTTTTTGCAAACGTTTAATAGTTTTTAAGGATGTCATTCCGTAAAATAGAAGAGTGTAATTTGGATTAGCATTGGTAATCTGAAATCGGGGATGTCATGATTAATGTGATTTGTTGTATTCTCTTAAGGGTCTATTCTCAAAGGGAGAATACGACGAAATCACTTATGATTTTAATGTTTACATCCTTCAGAACATAATAACTTATTTTTGTCTAAAATATTTGACAATATTTGAAAGATAATTTTTTTATATACACATAAAAAGCATTTTTTTTTATAAAAATGTATTTTAAATGTTCTAATTCGTATAAGTCTTCGTTATAAGTTTTTTCTAAAGTATCATGACTTTTTAAAATCCTTTTGATGAAAAATCTTTAAAAATATGCAAGATTTGTATTCATGCAAAAACTGTGTTTCTAACTTTATAAATTTCATCTTATTTGTTAAGAAGATAAATTTTTAAAACTATAAAATTCATATGGGTAACACAATTTGCGTGCATCTTGTTATTAATTGTGAAAAATGCATCGATACTTTTTTTAGTTTATTCTCAACTAATATTTTGAATTAATTACTAAAATCAAATTACTTAATTTTTTCCTTTAATGAATTCATTTTAAACAAAGCCAATTTTATAGAACTAATTTTTGAATGTTATATAAAACATTAGAGTGAAAAAAAGATTCTAAGTGAAAGTAAGAAAGAAGGAAAGAAAGAAAGAAGGAAAGTGAAAGTAAGAAAGAAGGAAGGCGAAGATTAAATAAGCGTGTAATATTGACTAATCTCATTTGTGTCTCCGTAAAATGAGAGAAAATGTAATTCGAAAATATGACGAATGGCTCGACAAAATTATTTTATATTGGAAATAAACTTCACAAGTATTTTTGTTCATGCATATTCATGTATGTATATTATTTCATGTTCATGCATACACGAACAGAATTTGGATTTAGATGCATATATGTTCACCTTTTTTTTGCTCCTTAGTGGATTTTTTTTAGTGGCAGTGAAAGGACAATTAATAATCAATTGTATGTAGAATTTTTTTAAATAAATTTCGCTAGAACTTAAAGTGACATTCAAATAAGTATCAAGCTGCTTAAGTTAATAATTTTCGATAGTAATTAAGATTATTTTATACTACTTTTATTAAACCAAGTTTAAAAAATTAAGCAAATTAATCTTAAATTAAAAAAAAAAAAATTTCTACGAAATGAGGAAAATACGGCAGCCATGACGTATTGCTAAAAAATTAAAAAGCTGTATGTAATTAATTATTAATTTTATAATGAAGAAAAATTCATTTTCTATCTGCCTAATTCCTATCTAAGTTTAAAGTTAATTTGTAAAAATTAGAGTGTTTGAGAAAACGAATATATAATATATATACATAAAGAGAGAGAGAGAGAGAGAGAGAGATTTTTAAAAAGCACTATTATGCTTCATAAAGGGATGCAATGTAAATATTTTTGAGAAAAAAGCAAGAAATAACTATTTTGTTTTGTTAATTATATTTGTTGAAAAGTATTTTCGATACAATGTCACTCTTAGTTTATAAAGTAAACATCAACGGAAAATCAACACAAAAGCTGAAACTCAGAACAAACAATTTTAGCAAATTTTTATAAAATTCCGTACGAAATTTTGAATGCAGAAAATTTTTTATGAAAACGAGAATGGAGGAAAAAACCGGGTCCTTAAGGATCCTTTCCTTCTTACATTGTTTTCATTTCTTTTTTTTTCCTGACAAATTTCATAAACGAAATTGCTTAAATTTTTATTTGCATGATAAATTAGATCTTTAGTTCAAAAAATAATAAGTAATTAGCGTAAAAAAACCCCATATTTTTCAAGTTAAATTGGTTATTCTTCGGAAGTATGCAAAACCTTGATATTATTCATCTGATCGGGGAAGAAAAAAAAACTGGGAGCATAATAGAAATGAATGGGAGCAGCATTTGAAATGTTTTTATAGCAGCAAATTAATACTATGACCTTCCTACCTGAGAAACTTTCAGGGGTTCAAAAAGTATAGGTACATACATACCGACGACAGTACGTGACTGCAAATAAATAAATAACTAAATAATAATTTCCGTGCTAATAGTTCTCACTAAACTGAATTACGTGGCTCACTAAACTGAATTACGTTACAACAGTATGTTATTAAATTGGTAATATTCTTTTTCAGCTTCGTGTAACATTTGCCTACATCAATAACCAAGCTGTGTTTACCATATTCCTGATACATTTTTTGAATATTTCTTTTTCATAAAAAAGGGTGTTGAATTTTTTGATAATTGAGTGATTGAAAAATGGTATCTAGTGATTGAAAAATGGGCTTCTCAAAAGCAAAAAGAGCATTTGATTTGTTGAGGAGTGTAAGATGCGAAGTGGATATCTGAAGTAATATTTATGCATATTTTTTCCCTCGTTATTGACGATCGAAATGGGCTACAGGTAACGCAAAGCAGAAATCTCTACCTATGGCAACATTTTGCATGCTTTCACCATTTAGTATGGGGATATTCATAGGAGAAAGAAATACGTTAGTTTCTCACTTGATTTTCAAATAGATGAAAAACTTATAAGTTAGGAAACTATATGGAATTGTAAGCTGCATTAAACATAGTTCAAAAAGAAAGCTTTGTGGAAATTTTAGAAAATATTTTGACAATTAAATACGAAAAATATAATGGAATGGGAAAATATCGTAGTACGTTCCCATACAACTGAGAAGAGGAAGACAGGAAAGGGGTGGGGATGATGGTTAAATACATGGAACCAGTCCTCTTCCCATTCCCAGATGGCGTAATCGGATGCTGCGATCGTGAATTTAAAAGAGCTAAATAAACGTGTAATATTGACTAATCTGATTTTTGTTTTCGTAAAATAAGAGGAAATGTAATTCTTAAATATGCCGGATGACTAAAAAAAAGTTGCCACACTGACGTACGATCATAATGCGAATCGCATGCGCGTGAATTTTTCAGAAGCTGTGCTCTGAAAAAATTGAAACTATGAAAACATAGCAAACATGATAATGAAGAAGAACATTTTTTGCTCTACGTAATTTTCTGCCTCAGATTTTCATTTTATGAATTTTAAATGAACATGCATATATTTGAACCGACTTTGCGGAAAAAATATTAGACTTGCGTTTTGTATCAGTGAAAAGATTCTTTAAAAATTATTGCCTCTTGAAATGATAAATATCAATAATTGGCATGTATTTTTGTATTAATTATTTGTATAGTCTTATTAACAGTTGATAAACGATCAATAATGAGAACTTTTTTAAATTTGCATTTTATTTATTTAAATCAAATATCTCTTTTATAAGCAATTTGATTTGGCAATGGTAGAGGAGAGTCTACAAATACAAACAAACCAGAGGATTCAAGTGATTTTCTAGATGTCAAAATAGTTTTTACCTCCATGTTTAAGGTAGATAAATGAACAATTTTATAGCATGTAAAAATCAGTTCACACAAAAAACAAAAATTCCTGTGGTTTCATTTGAAAGATTGTAAAAAACGATTTTTCACTTTTCTCCTTGGGAGAGATCCGCCATTTTTAATGGTAATAGTGCTGCAGAAAATGAAATGTGCCATGAAATTAGCATTAAATAATAAAAAAGGATAAATCGTTATTAAAAACTACAGTCAGATTTTTTTAGCATGGATCAAATATGTATTTTTAATTCACGAAGTCATCAATTTGTATTTACAGGGATCATCTCTTTCCCGCCATGTTGACTAACAGTGCTATTGTTTTTATTATGAAAATCAACAGTGTACAATGTAAACAATGCAAAAGAATTTTGACAAAGCGTTAGAAAATAAAATTGTGTTTATTTAAAACAAAATATGCAAGTTTCAATAATTTATTTAATATATAAAACAATGTTTAAATGACAAGCAGTAGTCAATGTACTCTATAACGGCATGTTTAGATTTAAAAAGCGTGTTATTGAAAACGTAATAATTGTTTTATGACCAGTCTAGTGATAATTTCTTGAAATATTGTAATAAAAGCTTTTTAATGAATTATTTATTTTGCTATACAAATTTTTAAATGTTTTGTTGTGTGATTTTTTACATGTGTAGGTATTTCTCACAATCAAAACATTGCACTTAACATGAAACATTTTTAACAATTTATATGTATGTAACCTGTTTCTTTTACACGAATTTTATGTTTATTATCAGAAATACCAAATTATAATTAGCATCTTTGACGTTTAAAAAAAGTTCTAAGTTCTTAAATATTAACGCAATTAATATATCAATATTTATCTATTCGAAGTGTTTTGCAGATTATCCAAAAATGAAATACGCACGTTATGAAATTTTATTATTTTGCTTGAAATACATTGTCATTCATAATGAAATCACAAAAGCTAGTTTTGAAATAAATTTGTTATGAATCTGCCTATAAATCTAAAAACCTTGGATGATAATCAAATTGTCATGCATGTTAAATTTAAAAATAAGAAAATCAATTAAAATACAGATTAAATATCAATTTAAGATACATACATGAATTAAGGAATTAAACTTGCATATATTTTTGTTGTTATTTTATTTAAGAACTCTAATCTTCACTAGAGACAGACTGGTTAAAATCTTTACTTTGTTTAATTATTATTTTAGTTTTCACATTAAAGTTATAAAAATATTTATTTTGTAGATATATTATAGTAGGTTTATTTTTTCTGTATATATTAAATTTTCAACAAAAGTGTTTTAAATCTAAATAACATGAAATTACTGATAAAAAAAAAGTTTATTAGAATTGATAAAAAAAAAAAATTAAAAGCTAATATAAAATAGGGAGAAAGGGCATAAATAACTATTAGAATGTCTAAGTTCTTTTTGCTGTTTTTCAAATGACTTCCTTATCCTAAAAACAACTTTACAAGCTTTCAGCATGTAGAATTATATATTTTAAGTCAGGGATATTTAATCTATGACCTGCGAAACAAAAGTGGTCCATAAACCCTGAACTATTTAAAATATTAGTAAAAATATAAAAGCTATAGACTATAGTGCGAAATCTAATTTCTAGATATCGGAAACAGTTCCTTTATCCAAAAAAAAAAAAAGAAGTTTCTTTTATACACTTGTGATTTCTTCTTTTCTAACTTGTTGGTACTTTATGGTTGAAATTTATCATAACTTTAGTGTTTATTTTATTTTTTCTAAACATTTTAATTTTTTATATTTTTTCATTAACAGAATAACAGAGATTAAGCTTATTCCACTTTTTTTTATTGTTACATAGACTATTTATGTTTCTCTTTTATTTTGTATAGTGCGATGTTATAAAAAGTATTAACTTCTCTAAAATGGAAAAAATTTGAAAATGCTTTAAGTGTAGGTCTTTTATTTTCTTAATATAATTAAAAAATATATATATATTTAGTTAAACTTCTCTATAACATTCTTTGATTAGTTTTTAGAGCACATGTTTGCATCTGGTGCAAAGCAGTTGATTTTGTCTTTTCTGCCATTAAATACAATTTCTTAACCTGGCATGATAATTTATCAGTATTGCCTAATTTCTACAGTCTTGTTCTGACAATCTTTATCTTCCTTTTTTTCTTTTCTTCAAAAGTATTAATTAATTCCAATTGATTTTTTTAAGGCTGTTTAGAAAGTTGTTTCCAACCCCTTAGTGTCTATCTATAAAAGGCAGCATTATAAGTTATTTTCAATTGGTCAAAATTTAAAGAACTTTTTTGCTATTTTAAAAACTCAATCTCAATTAGTGTCAAAGTAAGAATCTCCATCAAAATTACTCTTGTCAAATATATATATTTTTTTTATGTAGAACTAAATGTTATATGTTTAGTTGTTATCAGAAAAGAGGTTTTAGAGAATAGGGTGTGAGCAATTTATTAATACTTATTTTCTGTCTTAGAATTATCAAAACACTGACTTTATTAAGGAATAGGTTTGTTGCCATATATAAGAAAAATGTATTTGCCTTCTTATACAGGGGTCTGTCCAGGCCAAATTTACTACCTTTTAGCAGTACCTTCACAAATTCAACTTTTGGAAAAACAGTAGTTTCACAAAATACTTTTTCTTAAAATTTTATTTTTGTATCCCGTAAGAAGCGATAAATCCATATTTTTATCATATTTTTGTGTTGATTTTTTGATATAAATTTTAATTTTCACAAATTATGCCTAAATTTTCACAAAATAGGTACCTCTCAGGAAAACCTAGACAGACCCCTGTTATATGTTAGTTGACAACCACAGAGGTAAAAATATGGTAACCTACATCTTATAAAAATTTCCCCTTTTCTGTAATTTTATTCAATTGGAGTTTTCATTCATTAGTGCGAATTTCTGTCAAGAGACAGCACTACAATACTGATTCACCTTAATAAGAAGCATATCATTTTTGAAATCACTGTAAAATTTTTGTATCTCTGAACTAAAGTGGTTTATCACTTTTTACCTCTGAGGTTTTAAATTTTTTTAAATATATTCTAGCATGTTCTCATAGACTTAAATTGTATTTCAGGTATTTTCTAATGTAGCGAAGTTGCATAAGCAAATGCTTGGGAATGTTTGAAGATGGCACAGAGCCTTTTGACGCAACGAGGTGTGGAGTATGGCTCTACAATGCGATCGCTTCAAGCGGTTGGAGCCAAGAAACATCCACCTAAGAAGTGGCGCTCCCGTAACCAGAGTTGCAGTGAATCAAGTAGTGCAACTAGCGATAGCTGTAGCAGCAGTGACAGTGATGGAGAAGGAAGCTCAAGTAGAAGTTCTGCTACAGCAGAACGAGAATTTTCCATTGTGAAAGAAAGCAATTTTGCCAATGCTCCACTGAAATTGAAAATTGCTGCAAGAAGAATAAAGAAGGCACAAGAGGTTGGAAATGAAAATTTAGACCAAGAAGATTATTCTGAATTTCCGCCAGCTGGAAGTGACTCAGCACATAATGACATCAAGTGCAAAAATGTTGGTACTGTAGCAAAATGCACCAGGGAACCTCGAGAAAGGACTCAGCGATGCAAAAGAAAAGTTGAGAAAGTAAGTATTGTATTCAGTGTTTTCATTATAGAAAAAAAAAAATGGGTGAGAATTTCTCACCCTTTCTCAAAAGCAGGGTGAGATTTCAAAAAGTTAAGTGAGATTTTTTAAAACTAAAAAAACACAAAAACTCTAAAAAAATTATTTCTTTAATTATAATAAATTTTTAACGTCTTCTATTTTTTAAAGCATTGAATATTTTTNGAGTTTGGTAATTCATTAACAGCGAAAACTAGAGATAACTTTAAACAACTTATAAAGAACTCACTTTTTTTCTCAACACTTGTCGTAGCTGTTTTCATGTCTTTTTCAAAATGGCGGAAGACTAAATTTTTTCCAAAATTCAAGAGATTCGTGCATTTTAAAATTGATAAATTCAGTGCGCGAACTTCTCGCGTTAATCATTTTTTAATGCGGGAAAATAAAAAAAAATATGCGAGATTCTCGCGCTGTAGTGAAAACACTGGTATTAGGGAAGGTTTTTCATAAATCAGACTAATTATTCTATTTGTCATTATAGTTTTTTAAAAATCTATTTAAAGAATAATTTCAGATTGAAATAAATAAAATGTATGTTTCTTAAAGTGTTTGTTCTCGAAAAATCTTGTGATTGGTAAGAGTTATAAGCTTTAAGTGCCTTCAACAAAATTTGTATAAGATTTTCGGAGTCTTTAAATAGGCACAATTAAAACTTTTATGAAGCACTATTGTTGATAGATTTTTTCCTCCATTCCATTGAAATGAATTTTTTTTATTTCTTTGCAATTGTTTTTCTATAACTTGATTGCATTTCTCTTTTTTTCCCCTTTTCCTTTATGAATTTCTTTAGCTTCAAAGTTTAATGTTAAATTATATAATAAATCACATTCAACAAAATATAAAAATGTTTTTGCTATTAATGTTGTCTCTTTTGCAAAAATCAATAAATTTTTTAAAAATTTAAATTATAGAAAAGATGTCTTCAAACAAAAGATTCCCGAATGTCCTGTGGCGGTCAATATTCAACATGCAAAGCAGCAAGAAAAACACGTCGTTGCAGCACTAGTGGTAGCTCAAGTTCTTCTAGTTCAAGTGGCAGCTCCAGTGGATCTTCTGGGAGTAGTAGTAGTGGAAGCAGTAGTGGTAGTAGCACTGGTTGTAGTAGTAACAGCAGCAGCGGCAGCAGTTCTAGTGGATCAAGCAGTACTTCAGGTAGTTCTAGTAGTAGCAGTAGCTCTAGTAGAAGTTCATCAGGCTCTGAAAGTGAAAGCTGTTGTAGTGCTTCAAATTATACACGCTGTCGAAGAAGAAAAAGTCGAAGGAGAAAAGCATCTACTAAGTGCCAAGCAACTTGCACTCTACAATGTAAGAAATTGCAGAATGTATCTGAATCCTCTTTATCTAACAGTCAATCTGCAGGACTCAGCGAAAAGCCAGGATTTGGTAAGGGTGGAAAGCGAATACCCAATGACTGTGCTCGAAATAAAAAGCTGCAAGTCAGTGACATTGACTATTTTACTATCTCATCATCAGATGAAAACTGTTCGACAGGAGATAAAAATGCTAGCATTCAAGAATGCTTCAGTATGTGGAGAAAAGTTGAAGAAAAGCATTGTGCCATTATTGAAGACTCTCCTGGAAATGGAGATTTACAGATGCAAGTATTGAGTGTTACAAATGCAGAAGTAGAATGCAACATCAATGTATCTAGCAATATCGGACTTCTTAATTCTGGCGGTGAAAAACATTTTCTTGTAAATAATAAATGTGAAAATCAAAATACCACGGAATGTAATTTTAACTTTCATTCTTTGGAACAATTGCCATCTATTATTAAAGGCCATGTAACTGTTTCCACTACTAGTCTTGACTTAGATGCTTTACCTGTTTCTTTGTCTAATGTGTCCCCCGACAGTGGTATACAGTCATCTGGCGATTCTCCTCTACGTGTGGATTGTGAAATAACAGCATGTAGGGATGGTAATCAGTCACTTGTTAGCCTTGTTGATGATTATTTTGATAGAAGAGACTCATCTGAATTGACTAACAAGCTGAATGATAAGCAGGAAAAACCTGTTTCTCCTGCACATTCTCCTCCTGTTTTGATACCTCACGATCCACTGTGGACACCTAGAATTGCAGATCCACCATCCATTGTTGAAATTCAAAAATCTGATGAGGATTGTGCTCCATTTTTAGTTCAAGAGGGTATTGAGGTGAAGCTTAAAGGAGTCTCAGAAATGAAAGTCGAAACAATGTACACTGATTATAAGGAAGTTGAATTTACTACAGTGAAAGAATTCTTACGTGAAGAGTTGATAGAGCAGAGTTGTACTGATAAAAGCAAAGCAAATTCTTTGATGACAAGTAATAGTAAAAATTTTTCGTCTGAAACCAAATCAAATGTTCATGCTTTTTCTCAAAATCCTCTTCACCTAATGTTCAATGACCAGTCTGTTGAGATTGAAAAATCTGAAACGCCTGTTTTCTCAGATCAGTCATCTCCTCAGCTCTTACCATCCACTGAAATAAGAAGACCCAAAGCAAGGACTCCTCGAAGAATAGCTGAAGCAAATTTAAAAACCGACAATGAATTGCTGTCATTAGTTCAAAGCGTTCAAGACTCTATAAGTTCGCAGTTTCAAAGTGTAGAATCTGATGAACTTAGTGATGTTGACATGAGTAGCATATCTGTTACTGCATTGACTTGTGACACTACCAGTGATAGTTTCTGTGATAAGCTCTCTAATGAGGAAAACATCGACATACTTCTCAATGACAGGACTTGTATAAGAGAAAATGAAAATGATTCAAAACCTTTTTGTTCATCGACAAATGTTGCTAATTGTGATGTGAGTTGTACCACAAATATGGAAAATTCAAATAACTTATCTAATATTTCAAATGAAGAATATTCTGAAAAAAGTTCAGCACTTTCATGCGATTCTAGCAGAATTTCATCTGAAGAGAAGAAGCTAACTTCAAATGAACTTCCAAGCACTTGTGAAAGTGTTTCAGAAGGTATTGATAAACTCTCTTTGAATAGTTCAACTGATCTTAATGATTGCTATTCTCTCAATTTAAATCAGGATATTAAACCCCTATGTTCTGATGAATCTGAGATTCCTCTATTGAACGTTTCTTCCTCTGGTGCTTCTAATCATAAAAAAGATTCTGAAAATAACAACATTAATCTTTTATGTAATGAGGTCCCCGAAATTGTTCCCGAAAATACTTCAAATGCTAGTAAACATACCGAGAAGGAAATTCTTGATCAACCACCAGAGGTAAATGTTGAAACCCCTGCAAATTTGCAATCGAATATTAAAGTACCTGAAAAGAAAGGAAGGGGCAGACCGAGAAAGCATCCAAAAGGTACAGAAATAATTAAACCTGATGAAAAAATCGACTTATCTTTAGATAACTCTAGTGCTATTCCTTTAACAAATCAAATTACAAGTGGCAAAGAAAAAAGAAAATCCACAAAGCCTGTTATTAATTCTCTTGTTGAAACTAAAAATGTAAACCCTGATTTGGATAGTGAAATAAAAAGTTCTAAAAATAAATCCAATCCGTCTAAGATAGAAAGTAATAAAATATCAACTAATTTAGATAGAAAAATGGACTCTTCAGTGAAAAATAGTAAAGGACGAAATAGAGATAAAAGTTTAGATTCAAACCGGCCATTGGTGGAGAATGATGTTCTCAGTAGGAAAATTTCAAAATGTCCCCATTCTAGGAGCTTAACTGTTGATGACATTTGTGAAAATAATGCTGAATTGGAAAGATTAATAAATACTCCCGTCATTATTACTGATGATAATGACGCTACAAATTCAGAAAAGAATTCTTCCCCTAAGTTTTCGAAATACATTAATCCACTACTGAATAATTCAGAGCAAAACAAACCTCAGGAATCTCATAATAAGCCAGAAATTAATAATACTGGAAATGAATCTAAAAGAAAGAAAAGCTTTGCTGGTCGAAGAAAAAGCTCTCATTATGGACTCAATTCTATTAGTGATCAGACTGATTTAAAACCTGAAAGTTTAACTTCGTCTAGTAAAGAAGAAATATCTGAAGAAAAATCTCATGAAGCAGTATTTCCACCAGTTCATACAATAGATGCTGTTCCTGAGACTGAAATAAAACCATCACCCGTAGATAAGAATTCTCTAGTTGAAAAATCTAAAATTAAAGAGTCTTTCAAAGGTTCGCAATCATCTAATACTGTAATAAACCAAGCAGAAGAAAAAATTATTACTATAGATCCACAGTTAAGCAATAAAAATGATCCAGAAAAAGTACCAGAGCAGGACGTTGCTTTAGACTTAGTTGATAATATATCCGATTTCAGTAATGTTGAAAAATTTGTTTCCCTTACACCTTTTCATAAACCCAAAAGTAATAGAGGGAGAAAAAGTAAGAAAAAGAACTCATGTATTATAAGTCCTTCTTCGCTTGAATCGATAACTCAGCTAGCAGAAACTAACTTTGAGGTAGTAAATTCGGTTGAAACAAATCTTATAAATAGTGTTTTACCTGATGGTGAAGCAAAGGATTTTCCACCAAATCAAAGTATTATCAATTTGAAAGGAAATAGCTCAATGCCAAATGAAAGAAATTGGAAAAGTAGGCTTAAAAAATGCAGTAAGTCGATTGCAACATCTCATGAAGGGTTAACAAAAGAAGATACCAACTTGAGAACCATGCCAGAAAAATCAGATTGTGATAGTGAAAATACAAAACCTATTCGAAGCAAACGGATCAGAGAATGTGTATCGAAGAAGAAAAATTTTGATAATCTGGATGCTGTTATTGATGAAGTTGCTCAATCTGGTAAAATTGATAAACAACTTGAAAAAGTTAGTGAAAAGATACAAAAACTTGAATTGCATCATGCACAATCAGAATTTCACCCTAAGATACTTTCAAAGAAGAAAGTAAAAAATTCTACTGACGATTTATCTAAACAAAGAAAATTGTCTGATCTCTGTCCAGATAAAAATCCTGTGTTTGAATCTAAAGAAAAAAAGTTTGTATCTGAACAAAAGATATCACAGCTTGTTTCAGAGAAAACTTTAAAAACAATTGGTACTTCTTCTGAAGATAGTGATTTGAAATATCTTAGTAATAAAAATGGTGCTGAAGATGCTAATGGCCTTTCTTTTATAAACGCTAAACCATCTGAGAGACAAAAGAAGCGAAAATCACAACCAATTTCTTCACCTGAATTATTAAGTCAGAATTCTCCAGGGAAAAATAACTCGAAGATTTCTGCTAAAAAAACTGAGAAACAAAAACCCTCAGATGTAATTGATAAAAGTAATTCTGATCTTGAATTTTCCCCTTCTACATCCCCAGAAAAAGTAAATTCTGATGAACCAAGTATTTCTGGAACTTCAGAAACGATTGTGTTTTCTGATGAAAAACAAATTCGTAAGAAAATATTATCAAAACAAAAACCTCTTTCTCGTAGGATTTCTACTAGCAATTCAGATTCAAAAGGTATTTCAAAGATACGAAATAGCAAAACAAAACCGTCTCTTTGTAAAGCTGCTACTGTTTCTAAATCCAAACGCCGTAAAGTTAGTGATAAAGAGTTGCCAAATGAAAAACCAAAAAGTGATGTTCAATTAAATAAATCAAAAGTCTCCATTTCTGATAAAGGCACTAATCTTATTTCTAAAGATGTTTCTAATGTTGACCAAATTACTGATATAAGTCAATCATCTTCAAAAGTAAATAAAAAGGATTCCAAGAAATCAAAAGTGGATGATGAAAAAGAAAATTTAGATGTTAGAAAAATAGATAAGTTTTCTTTAAATAAAACAAAATCCAAACTTAGTAAAGAATTAAAAAGTGCTAAAGTTTCTGAAGATGCTAAGAAAATTCCTCATCAACAACTTAATGTTTGTAAAGAAATTGATTTCCACGAGAAGGAGGATAATTTTTCTTCTTTGTCTTTGAAGGAGGACTATAATACCTCAGCAAACTTCACTGCTAATACCAGAACTTATACTATAGATAAACAATCAGCACTTGAAATGAAACCTATTAAGAAAAAGAGGTCTGCTAAATTGTACTATACTGAGGATCCAAATTTTAGTATTGAGTTAGAAAAATTGGCTGGGTTATTGGACTCTTGTTATATATCAAAAAAACGTGTGAAACTAATGGATGAAACATTAAATATGACTATACCATCTATATTTCACTTGAATTTCTGTTTGGGCAAAGAAAAAGCAACACGGCTTTCTCAGTCGAATAAAATTTCAAAAGATAAACCTAAAATTACTAGAAAGAAACCTAAGAGACTTGGCAAAGCAAAGACTGTAGTGAAGGGTGTTGCAACTCTCAAACCAAAAGATGTAGTTAGTGAAAACTGTCTTCCTCTGAAAAAACGTCGTCATATAACATCTGCTCAAGTCCTTAATTCTAAAATAGCAACCAATGATACTGTTGTACCTAAAACTACGAGTGTCAAAAGGAATTTCACTTTAAATACTTCATTTGATGAGACGATAGAGGAATGTATTAGAAAACATATGATGACTGATGAGAAAAAACCTGCCCCAGTTGTCCAAGTAGTGAAAGCTAAACCAAAAGTGTCAAAATCAAGAGATTCAATTGATGATGCAATTGATAGTTGTATAAAAAATAATTTGCTACCTACCAAAGCAGTTTCTGAACCAATTGCTAAGGAATCGCTAAAGAAAGATGAAACAGAAGATGTGCCATTAGCATCTTTAATGAATAAAAAAAGGAAAAAAGTTCCTGAAATTGTCACTAAGCCTAAAATTGTAGAAACAGCATTAGCATACAGGCAAAAGCGAAAGCGCTTGATTAAAGAAGCTTGTGCTCAATCTGTGAAATCGCAAAAAGAGAATAATGTTGCTGAAAATGTTCTTAGTGCTCAGAAAAAAAGGAGAAGATTTCGAAATAAAACTGGTTTTGTGCGAGTCAAGAAGAAAAAAGCTCGTGCGCCGCTGAACACAGAAATAATTGAAACAAGGGAAGTGACTCTAGATGGAGAAATTATTGATTTAACAGCTGAAGATAATATGTTGGATTCTATTGAAAGTGTTGTTAAAGCATCTGTAGAATCTCAAGAACCAAGATCTCGCAGGAAAAGGAAAAATGTTGCTCAGAAATGTGAAATCGAAGTGTTGGATTTAACAAGTGGTAATGATGATGATATCGAATGTCTTGAAGCAAAAAGACAAAAAGTAAATGAAGAAGAGGAACTTTTAGAGCCCAAGTAAGTTTACTAATGAAATATCAATAAGATTATATTTACAGTGGTTTTGATTAATACAATATTTTAAAATAAATAATTGTTTAAAGAATTAACTAACTTCTAGTTCTATCTTTTATTTGAATTAGTTGTTTTTGATTGTTAATCATTTTAAGATTTATCCTGTAGAAATATAATGTAAAATTTTGAAGATTTGAAATATATTGAGTCTTGCCCATTTTATAGATTGTATTGATTCTCGAGTGCAGTTAGCTTTTAATTTCATAAGAGAATAAAAAACTCTTGATTTTTGAAAATGTATTTTCAATAAAAATTTTAATTAACTCATTATAAAAAGAAAAAAAATATTTAAAATACACAGTTTCCTAATTCAATAATTCCTAGTTCAACAATAAACATTTTATCGTGAATTCTTATAGTGCTTATCTTTAATTTCTGCTTTTTAAGTGGTTCATTTAGGATGCAATTAATTAAATGCTATAAAATTAGTGATTTTAAACAACATTTTTTAAAAGAGAAAACTGAGGTGACATATTTTTAAATATGATTTTGTTTTATGTTTAAAACTTTGTTATCTGTTATATATTTTTTGAAATGTGTTAGGTAACTGACTCAGTGTTTGACTTTTTTATAGAAATTAAATAATTATGCCATTAAATTAATTAAAAAATTAACAAAAAGTAGTTATAGTCCAATCGTAACACTTTTGATCTAGCTTACGGGTTAGGAGATCTCTGATCATACCACTTTTGCACTAGATTTATATGACTGAACACATTCAGTTCATGATGCTGTACATTTTATTTAAAAATTAAAGAAATGTACTTAAGTTTCCCTTTTTTTTTTTATGTATCATGCGTTCATGTATCAAAAATTCAATCAATATATTTTATTAATTTGAAATTCCCTTTTATTTTTTTTATATGAAAATTAAATTTAGGTCTTGTGGATTTTATCAGTCTTATGTTTGCTTTAAACATCTTTTAGATATCAACAAATCATTCAAGTTACAGAACCATCATCAGGTAGAAGGCTAGCTCCAGCTGATCCTCGAAAAGTGCGCAAGAAAGAAATATCTTTACCAAAGAAGAAATTTTTAAGAGCTGGTCTATACTCACCATTTTTCAAACAAGATTGGTAAGAATAATTGTTAACTAAATATTCTGTATAGATTTTCTTTTTAGATTCCATATTTAAAATAATTTAATAAGTAATTTTGACATTGCAATTACAAAGGGGTAAACAGTTTCTTCTACTTCCTCTTCAATAGGATTGTAATTTTAACAGTCAAAATTGAATTTATCCAGTATATTACATAAAATTGGTATTAACTGTTCGCAACTGGTTGCAAGTAGTAAAGAAGGGCCAGAACCTCCTGAAACTGTTTTCAACGAGCATTAATTTTAATGATTGAGTTTTTTTTATATTTAGTGCAATGTTTTTTAAAAAAAACTCGAACTTAATCATGTAAATGTATTTTTTAAAATTTTATTGAATTTCATTTGTTTTTCTTTTTTAACATAAAAAATTTTCAGTTTATCTGCATCATTTTATACTCTCCAGATAGAGTCTTAGAATTTAATAATGAATGAAATGGCTAACTTTTTTATGCCAAAGATTACCAATGTTTTGAAGAAAAAAAGTCCATTTAGCTAGACAGTTATACTGACTGCTTAAATGCTTTCCCCTTTTAACTAATGGAGTTTTAAGTCATCATCGTTTTATTCATTGTGATAACTGTCATCTTGCCACTATAAGCATTACATATTTTTTAGGTTTTTTTAATTTCATTTCTTGAAAGTTTACTTAATAATCTAACTCTTTTTAAATGTTGGAACATTTTACTTATTATTATTCAATGTTACTCTATAAACAAATGCCAAATTCTATTTTAAAATCTTTCTTTTTGGTAACTGTTAATATATTATCAAAAAAAATGTATTCCGTTAAATGTTTGCTGTACTTTTCTAGTGTCTTTAGGTTTTCTTCTTTTTCCTAAATTATTTAAAATAAACAATCAGTGTCAATGGATTAAATCGATTAACTTCATTTTCAGCAAAACTCATTTTCGATAAATTGCCAATAGTGGATCTTTCTCTGTATTCTGAAGTGTCTGTTAATAAATCGCAATAATGGATGTTTCTCTGCATTCTGAAGTGTCTGTTAACTCTTTGCTTTTAACTTGATCCTCTTGCTGATAGGTTTTTTGCCTATCAAGTAAAATATTTTACCCATCTTTCTGTTAAAATATGAATTCTCAGAAATTTACTATGGAATTATGTTTCTAATAGTTATAATACATAAAAAGATACTGAAACTATTTAAATCATCTGGTGTTAACATGTCTTTTTTATTTTTTATTTTTACTACTACTAGTTAGACAGCTAATAAAGATAGTCTAAAATCAAAAATGCTACTACAATTATCTTGTTTTCCTTTAGTGTACATATAACAAAAGCAATGTTTACATCACCACCCACAAAAATCAGCTTCATAAGAATGTAGTGCACATGTCTTGCCATTTACTAAGATTTATTTTTTGAAAAAAGTATTTGCGTTCTCCTGCGGGCAACATGTTATCAGTGATATTTTTGTTAAGATTCACTATGATTCCTGGTTGTTATGAAAATAGTTTGGAAGTTGATGTATCCGATGAAACTAATCTGATTACTTACTCTTTTACATTAAGAACTGATTTCAATCTTTTTAAAGTTTAATATGAGATTTTTATTGAATTTATAAACCTTGAAATATTTTTGTGTATTTATTGATTCATAGAGACATAGTAATAAAAACTTGGTCCATTTTGGTTGTCTAATTTATTTCAATCATGTAAAATATTTTGATTTCGCAATCAAGGCAAGCAGACATCTGCAGCTTTTTTTTAATATTATCATTAAACTTTTTTAAATCTTTACTGAAATATGTTTTGTTTCTGAAAAGACTTGCTAAAGACTGAAAAGACAATGTTAGCAAACAAAGATTACTGTGAGACAACAAATTTTCATAGCTTCGGACATTTTTTGATTATTCATGTATTAAAACACAAGTTATCAATTTTCAGTATTTTATGTTAAGTTCGCAGTAACCTAAATATTGTTTAATTAGTAATTTACTGAAAAGGAAGAGAAAAAAAACATTTTTTAATTAAGTATTTTTTGCAATTCACTTATGCTTTTGAATTTAAGACAGTTGTGTGTTTTTGTTGTTTTAATAAACTTTGATTAAGTAAGCTAAAAATTAATTGTATTTTTTTACCCTTTAAAAATGTCAAAACTTTTACTTAATAATAGGACAACTTAGTATCAAAAAACTTCAATTTATTAAAAATTCTGTTTTTAAAATTTGCATTTAAATTTGTGTTATTTATTGTAAAATTATGTAATTACAGTAGAGAACCGATTATCCGGAACGATCGGGACTATCGCTATTCCGGATAACTGATTTTTCCGGTTTTCTGAATCGCTACAAAAAGCCGTTTTTTTTAGTGTTAAACCCAACTAAAAAAAGAAAATATTTGGAAATAATCTTAAAAATAAGAAAAAACGATGAGGTAATACACTAATGAATTTTTCTGAAATGATGGTAAGGTAAACATCTTTCAAAAAAAGAAAGAAAAGTCCTAAAATCTTATGAGGGAAAAATTTTTTTTTAAAAAAATTGCGGGAAAATTTATCGAATTTCGTTTCGGTTTTCTGATTTCCGGACAACGGGTTCTGTACTGTATTATGTTATTTTATTTCAATTTATAATATACTTTATCATATTTGTTCAGTTTTAGTTTCTGATTGTGGTATTTTCATTTATTTATGTTTTCCTTTTTATTTATTTTAGCCCTGCTCCTAAGAAAAGTAGCAGCAGTAAAAAATCTAGATCCAGAGAAATAAAGGAATATATTCCTGAGGATCATGAATTTGGATTGATGCCTCCACCTATTCATGTTGGAAAATATTTAAGAGAAAAACGTTCTGAATTCAAATTACCATATGACATATGGTTGCTTTACAAAAATAAACAAGTATGTTCCAGAGAGAAATTTTATCTATATGTTACTATTTTTTTTCTTTTGGTAAAAGCTGTTTAGCTTAAAATTGAGTTTATGCAATAAATAACAAATGTTATTTTTTAAAATTTCATAATGCTTTCAAGTTTTATTTATTTATTTTATATTTTTATTGGTGATGTTGTACTAGAGTTACACTAGTGTGTTGTTTGTAAAAGTTTGGGATTCATTGTTTAGTGGTAAACGTAATGCAAAAACTTTTTAATCAATATTACATTGCATGTTCTGGGGATGCCTACTACTACATACTTTCTGTGATATGTAATGATTTTCTGTGATTATGGAATTATAGAAAACTACTGATAACTATTTTAAAAAATCAATAATTCTTCGATTTATTTTTTTAAATAGCTTTTTTTTCTCTTTTGACAAAAAGAAAACTTTAAAAAAAAAAAAATATTTTGAGGCATTTTTTTTATTATTTGTATCCGTTCGTACCTAAAAAATTATTAAATTGCAATTTTATGTTCTTATTTGGATTTGTTAAATGCAAATAATTTTTACTTATTTTTGTAGCTTTAACAAATCGAATGCCACTATATAAGTTGAATTGGCTTAGGTTAGCCTTTGAATTTTACATAACTTTCTTTAAAAAATAATTTATTCCCTATGTTATGTTTCTAAAATCGTTTATTTACTTCAAACAATTGGTAATTTTAAATCTGCTCTTAAACTATACAGCCATTAACAAAAAGGATTAAAAATAACTTTATATAAAGTCTTTATATTTAATTTTTGACCTCCCAATAAGATTCATTACACTCTTTTTCCAGTTTAATTAATCTTATGTCAAGTGTAATCTGAGAGACAATATTTGAAACACACAAATACCTCTATTTCAGTAACATGTTTGTACAACATTGAACTAAAATGATTTTGAAGAATGTGTTTGTATGTGCGTTAATAATATTATTTTGTTTCAGATTTTTTATATTTTCACTGAATTTTTTCTAATGAGAATTGCTTTTTAATTAAGAGGATGTAGAACATAAATGTGCTGGGAGCTGTAGAATTATTTTTACACACAAACTGATTCATCAATGCAACTTAATTTATTATGTCTAGTAATTAATCATAATACAAAGTGATCCATAATATCAATCTATTCTATTGTAATGTTATTTCAAACTTATCGGATATTTTTTTTTCTTTCAAAAACTGATTTTTATTTTTCATTGTGATTGAACCACTATTATTTTTCATTATGAATATAGTGATGCTTACTTTAAATTTTTGTGTAAAAATAACTTGTGGAATATTAATTGTTTCAATTTGTGATTTAATATCACTATAGAAACCAAACATTTTTCTACCATTGTAGGAAAATGCCGAAAAATATTCCGCGTCTTTGGGAAATATTGCTACCACTTGCATTCCTGCTTGCTCTTATCTATTTATGATGATTATTATTATTTTTATACTTTTTGTTCAAGTTTTGATGGAAAGCTGTTATTTTATAGACTTAAATTACATTTTTACTGCATTCTTTGTTCTCATACATAAAATTCCTTATTTTGCAGTGCTTATAGTTTTAATTTCTCAAGTAGTTTTTATACCATTTTTTTATTTTATTTTCAGCTGGTCTATAATGATGAGTTAACAAATAACTATCGTAAAATTAGAACAAGTAAGTTAATTTTAGAATTTAATACTCTAAATTTTGTAAAATTATGTTGTAATCCCTACTGCAACTTACCAAAACATGCATTTTGATATATTTTTTGTTATCTATTGTTGTTTAAACTGAATTGTGAGTTGATATTAAAATATAGGATATGCGCAGCAATTAACAAATTCTGATTATGTAAAGATACCACATACTTAAACAGTATTTTCCCAGTTTCCTCCCTGTGAATCTCGACTTTTAATATTACTTTATTTTCTGGAAGGGAAAACAATGCATCGCTTTAAGAAAATTTATTCTAATCAACATTTTTAAAAATGATAAAGGGTAAAAAAAGCTAAAGACCTGTCAACTCTCAGATTTTGTGTCCAATCTCAGAACCTCTGGCCACCAAAGTATTCCCACAGACTTTTTTGTAAATGGTATATAAATCGAAGACCCGTGTACAGTTTGCATACAGCTCTCAAAACTTTCTTCCCTGTCAGAGATTTTGTAATTCAAATATTTTAGTTAATCGTTTTAATTCCCTTTGAGAATCTTTTTTTTTTTCGTTTTTAAATTTAAATGTCAGCTAAATGTTTTTTCTTTTCTTTCGGAAACATTGGGCAAAATAAAATAAAAAAGTATCAGAATTACTCTTAAAATATGCTGCGCCATCATACATTCAAAGAAACTTGAAGTAGACTCAAATCAATGCGCATACACCATAAAACACATTCTGAAAAATTTCTCTATCTTTTTTAATTTCATTTTCTCCCATTGCTCATTTTATAGATTTCTCTTACTAAGGAGGATAAAATTTCACATTCTCTTGACACCTGATTTCGACACAACTGTGTGTTTGAAATCACAGTTTTGGTTTAATTAGTTTAAGATGGATCTGGGCTCCGGCTCCTGTCTTAATTAAATACTCGTGCATATTAGAGCGGAATTAATAGAGAGAATTTACCAAGTATTAGTTTGTTTTCTATGGTGGATTTTTAAACTTTACAATTGTTAACAAAAAAAACAAAAAAAAATCTTAAGAAAAGTTTTTTCACGGAAATTTATTTTTCTTTCTGAAAATTTCAGTTTTACGGTTAGTCAAATTCTGAATACTTGAGCTTTTTATGTTTTTTAATCGTTACATTCTTGAAGATTTAAGCCTCGGTATGGTATATATTTAGTATCAATATTTTTTAATGAATTAGTTTATAATTTTGCGTTTTCTAATTGAAAATTTTTTTAAGAGTACTGAATATGCAAAAAAGTTGTCACTGAAATTATTTAAATTATTTTTTTAATTTTTTATATTTAATTTGTCTTGAAATGCTTATTTATTCTTACATTTGTACGAACAGATGTGTATGTTGATATTAAACCTGTTGATTCGAAAAATGATGATCAATCTTGTAACTGTATGCCACCTAAAGATCATCGAAAAAGAGGCTGTGGAACTGATTGTTTGAATAGGTAATTAGTTACATTTTTAAGGTTTTACTATTCTGTATTTTAGTAATTGCTTGAATGATTTAAACAGTTCTGGAGTTTTCTAGGAATGCACCAAATAATAATTTTGACTGGATATTAGTCATTTTGTAAACTATGAGTTTTTGTGTGAAAGATATTATGATATGTTGGTATATTTTAAGGATAATGTTAATAAAATCGCTAAATTTAAAGTGTGATCTTAAACCTGGTGATGATATATTCTTTGAATTCAAAACTATTATCAAATAAATCACTCAATTACTTATATTGTATTCATACCTCTTTTATCTGACTTTATTTTTACCTTTTATCTGATTTTATAAACTTGTCTATAAAAATCTATAAAAATTGTACAATGAAATTGCTTTATGCACTTTGACTTTAGCTTTTAATCTGTTATACAGTATTGTTTGGCGCAGCATGTCCTTATTTGGACTTAGTGCCATTAGACCCTACATTCAATCATTCAATTTCGTTATATAAATTTTAAATATTGTTTTAAATATTTAATGTAAAATGTATTTAATGAGTTACGTTAATTCTTAACATCTTTCTATTTAGTTCTCAAATTATGATCTGTAGGATATTTTAAGAAGAAAAAAATTTATTTTGGTGACATTTAGCATTTGAAAATAAAAAATTTAAAAAGACTTAGAAGCTTTTTTAATTTGTTAAGAAAATTATTTTCGAAAAGTAAATATTGCTATAATTATGTAGAAAGCTCAAAGTAGTAAAAATATACTTGTTTTGTAATTTAAAAGAAATAAATGTGTCAATATTATAATTATTTTTTGTTGGATAATACTTTATCAATGTCCATAATACTGAATAAATCAGTTTTTAAAATAGTAATATAACATTTATTTCATAGATTTATAGAAAATATAACATTGCTAAATTTGTGTTCCTATCCTTTTAATTCTTTCTGAATGAACTCTATTTTATAACTGTTAAAGTTAATTCGGCTTATCTGAATATTTGAAGATCAGAAAAGTTCGTAATTGATTAAACTGAATATTCATTGTGGGTGGCTGAATAGATCAGCTGAATATTCAGTGTATTCTTAACTTTTTTAGTACAATTTGTAATTATAACTGCATTTTTTTTTAAATTTTAGAATGATGTACGTGGAGTGCACTCCAAATATGTGTCCTTGCAGAGATCAATGTTCTAATCAACGAATATTTAAACATGAATGGAGTCCAGGTTTGGAACGCTTTATGACAAAAAATAGAGGTTGGGGCATACGCACTACAGAGTATATTCGTTCAGGTATGTTTATTTACCAATGCTTTTAAGTTTAATTTTTTCAGAAGAGGAGACTATGATACAAGTTTTTATCCTAATTAAATTTTCAGTCAAATTTAATGCTTTCACATCAGAAATTAGCGTTTGGTAAACCAATTAATTCTGATTAGTCTATGAACTATGGATTTCTCATTAATCTACTATAGATTCGGAGTAGTCCTTGAATTGCTAAAATAATAATAAAACACAAGCTTGATTTTTTTCATCAATTTGAATTTTGGTCATATCACAGATGTGTATAATTATGTTTGTTTTAAAGTTTTCGTACTTATTGGTTTGAACAGTTATTTTTTTATAAAATAACTGTAAACCAAATAGTTATTAAAAGCCCCAGAAGTTAAATTAAACTTTAAAGCTAAAATCAATACCATAGCTATTAAATTTGTAGAAAGTATTAACTATTCTATGCATTATGACTATTGATTTATTAAATGTTTTTTAATTTTACTTAGCAATTAACTAAATTGCGGTAAAATTTGCTTTTTCCCTTAAATTATTTGCTAATGATAACACTTTTTATTATTTTAAAGAAACTATAATTTGCAATTGACTTTCAAATTTCAGGAGAATTCATTTTAGAATACGTAGGAGAGGTTGTCAGTGACACTGAATTTCGTCATCGAATGGCTGAACGTTACAGAAATGATCAGCATCACTATTGCTTAAGTTTGGACTCGGGGACAGTAATTGATGGTTACCGATTAGCTGGAGAAGGACGATTTGTAAATCATTCTTGTGAACCTAATTGTGAAATGCAAAAATGGTATGTATAATTATTTTAGATAAGAAATGCTGTTTAAAATGTAAGTCATATTTAAAAAAAAGAATTGTTAAATGTGATATTAACTGAAAATAAAACTCTTATTTGTTTTTTTTTAAAACTATTCTTAATTTGATTGTAAAACTGTGAATCTATTTTCTGAGGTGAAATTAAATGAATCAGCACTATTCATTATTAAATGAATTAGTGCTGAGATACATTTTTATGTCATTGTAAGTTGTAGGAAAAGTATTAGATGTAGTAAAAATATCAGTTGTAGTATGTCAGCTGTCATTTTATTGTTTGTCTCAATCTAATAATTTACTTGAAAATTGAGAGTAAGTGTCCTACTATACTAACAAAAAAGTAATATTTCTAAAATAGAATTCATATCACTAAATGTCATAAAAAATGTATGTATTTTCTTTAGTACAAATGAAAAAACTTGAACATTTTATAGTAAGTCTTTGAACAATTTAAGTTACTTCCAAGTGAGTTATATTGTAGTTTATAAAAAAATAATATTTTATATTATAATAGATGTATATATTAGTATAGAACTCGCTGTAAGAAAAAATTTTGAAATAAAAAGAAAGCTAATTGTTAGAAAAAGCAGGAAAAGAAAGTTGAATTTTTAGAAAAAGCTTGACTTATTTTAGTTGGTTTATATCTAGTATCTTTTACTTGTCTTCTTTTTTTTTCAATGATAATATGGAAGATATTAATAGATGTATATATTAGTATAGAACTCGGTAGAAAAAAAATTTAAATGGAAAGAAAGCTACCCCAAATATTTTAGAACTCACTGCACAGGTTTCAAACAGCATATCTATTGTGCTGAAAAGTTTAGAATTTTAATTTCATTAACTCTTTGGTTTGATAGTTTCTTAAATATGTGAATTTTAAGCAAAAAAGTAGAAGCTTGATAGCAAAAAAGAATTAAATAGTAGAAGTATAATAGTTTTTCTAAAAGCTGTTTTATTTATTGTGTATATTTTTTCCCATTATACGTGCCTCATTTATTCATTTGTTCATATTCTGCATTATTTGTCTTTTGAAAATTATTTGTAAAATCTTTTTCTATGACACATATATAATTTTTAAGTTTTAAATAAAGAAGGTTATAAGATTTCAATATTTAGTAAAGTAATATCAATTACTTTAGTTCATTTTTTTCTTTAATTATACTTTCTGGAATATATGCTGATTTTCGATTTTATGTTTTCTATTTGTTATTTATTTTAAACATAGTAGTTCTTTGTAATGAATGCAATATATGACATCAATTTTAATTCTTAAATAAAAAAATGCACTTTGTTGTTAAATGAATGCATTTAATCAATAAGTATAAGTGTACTATATTTTTTATTAAAGTGAAAACTTAACACTATAAAATGTTAAAAATATATTCAGAATGTTTTAGATTTCTGTTTTATATTTTTATTGTCATGAAAAAAAAAATTTTTGCAGAAAATTTTCTTAATGCTAATTGAATCACAGGCTTTGCTTTTTGTTTATAAAAGTATTTTTTATATCAAAACATGTTAAATTAATGTAAATACATATTGTTGTTGTCATGAAAAATATCCTTTAATTTTATAATTTCATTTTCAGGTTTGTCAATGGTCATTATAGGGTTGGACTTTTTTCATTACGAGACATTGTGCCATACACTGAGCTTTGTTATGATTATAATTTTGATAATTATAATTTGGAAACTCAGGTAAGACACATAGTAATTTACCACTCCCATTGTATTATACTTTAAAAACTTTTTTTTTATTCACTAATAAGTTTATTAAAATTCTTATTAAAGTATATTTTCTGTTCTACTATAGCAAATATGCAGGTGTGGAAGTTTAAAATGCAGAGGTTTTATTGGTGGTCGTTCTCAAAAATTAAATGGCCAGAATAAGGAAAGAGTTAGACCTGCAAAAACTTCAAAAGCTATTGTGGACTCTAAAAAAGGTCCTGGCCGACCTAAGAAAAGAAAAGATGAGAGACCAGTTGAAATCCAAAAGGAGGTAAATTTAGTTTTTTTCTCATGAACTACTGATAGATATTTTCTTCTCTGTTTGCAACTGTTTTTTTTTTTATATATATATATATCCTCCGATTTTCTTGTTATTACCAAGAAATGGTTAATTAGTCCATGTTTATTTTATCCTTGCAGGTGTAATTTTCTATTTTATTTTAATCTGTTCTATTGTATTCTAATGCTTTTTTTATGCCAGTTTATTTTAACCAGAGTTTGCCAAAACCTGTTTTTTTCCAGGGGTGTTTTCATGACAATACCTAATTTCTGCCATAGATATGTTAGGTTTTTCAAATATTTTCTGCATGGCTACTTATTCATGCATGCATACTTATATATACTGCATATAAGAATAAGATATAGTATATATTGAAAAAATAATGCTTGATTGTAACCAAAAGGATTATTTAAAAAAAAAAAAGGGTTAACTATTTCAGTCATTTTTTTGCCTTCTAAATGTATAATGAATTGTATTGTGATAAAGCTACTAAAATGATTCTTTTAAAATTTAAAGCATTTACAAATCGTACACCGCGATTCGTATTCACGTGATTTTAAAATCTAATATTGCTATTTATATTTCACCCTATTTTAAAAATCCAACATTGCCATTCTCATAAAAACTAAGTTTTTTCTTAAAATAATTACTATAAAATTGTGATATTCATCATTGGTAGAAAATTTAATTTTAAATATTATTTTGAAAAAAATTATGTTAAGTATGAAACATATATGGTATATAAATGGTTTTTGCACATAAAATTTTCCGGGTTTTTCACTTTGTGTCACAATCACCCCTGTTTATTGTATTATTTGCTTTTGAAATGAATTTATAATAAAAAGGCTCGCGTAGGTCAGGTAGAACTGGGAAAATCTTAAATTATCAGGGAATTTTATTTTAACTTTAAAAAACAGGGAAGAGTCTGAGAAAATTGCAAATTTTTTGCAAAAACCATGAAAATTCCTATATCCTACCTTGTAAAAAACCAGTCTCAGAATCGTCAGTAACACCAATCAGTTATTGAGATCAAAGTTAAATAATTTCATCCATTACAAACATTTGTCACAAAATTTCACATTTTAGTGATGCTTTCATCCCTCTGACATTTGACATTACGAATAAATAATCTAACATTTGACATTACAAATAAAAAAAATCAAACTTTTCTGATGAAAAATATTATTTTGCAATAAAATATTATTAGATTGTGTCTCACTGTAGCAAAGAGTGATTGTTTTGAAAATATTATTTTGAATTTTATTTTCAGTGCCCTCTGTTGAATGATTTTGTTATTGTATTGATTTTGTTGTTAATTTTGTGATGAATTACAGCTTTTATTTAAATAATGAAACTTGTTTTCTAGAAGCATTTTTAATTAAAAGATAGCATTAACCACTTTGTTAATTTATATATAAATATAAGTTAATAATTTTTAATGTGTTAAAAATCATTTTGTTAATAACACCTAAAGCAAATTCTTTTCTGGTGCGCTTTTTTCAGCTAATTTAAAAAGAAATTAAAGTTAATCTTGATATATGTGAAAATTAAATGTGCACAAGATTTGAAAATGTATGTTTAAATGTTTTTTTCCCTCTTTCATTTCACAGCATATTAAAAATGAATACCTACCCTATAACCGTCAGTCTTTTACAATACAAATAAAACCCATGTCTCATCAGCAAAGATGCTATGTGCAGAAACATCATTGCTTTTTGCTGAGGAATTATGAAAAAGTGAAAAAAGCAAAAGATGAAGCTCGTATAATTGCAGAGAAAGAAGCAGAAAGGGAGAATGCTGTCAATAAACAAGGTTGATTTTTCATTATTGATTTTAAGATATCTTATACATAAGAGTGCACAACCTATTTTTTTTTCTTTGAAGAACCTCAGGAAAATATAATTTTCAAGGGCATGCAGTTTTTTTTCCAATTAACAATAACTTAAACAATTCTTATTTTAATCAGAACAATATTAATTGAGTTATCTTAATTAATAAAAAAAAAAGTAATTTATGAAGTATATGTATAATATTATCCACATGTTTTTACTAAACACTCATAATAAAATAAATATAGAGTTTGTCTCCAATGAAAGTAAATGGACGCAAGTTTTTAACTTTTCCCTGTAAGAAAAAATAATAATTTTATTATTTTTCATTGAATATTTACTACTTACATCTTTGATTTTTAAATAAATATTTGAACTACATATGTTTCAAACGTGCTTTTGTTTTAAAAGAAAATTTCTCTTTAAAATCTAAAAAAGTTAAAGTATATTAATCTTTTTACACTTCTTTTTTACAAACTTCATTGTTATAATTTCTGTTTTTATTTTTTATTAATTGAAAATTATCTGAAGAACAGCTATACATTTTTCTTATGCAAATTATGTTAGTTTTTCATAATTTTCTGAATTGTAAAGGATACATGTGACTGTTAGAAGGATGCAGATTTTACAACCCTACTTTTTTATGCAATTAGCTCATTTTGCTTTTAAACCTCCCCCTTTCTTATATTTAAAACAAATATTTTACAGCATTTTAATTTTTTTGTTAATTTTTTTAGATGCCTTCTTGACACAATTCACAGCATTGAATACATCTAGATCTATTAAAACAAGGTATGACATGAATAATTATTTTTGTAATTTTACTTTTTCAAATACACTTAAAGTTATTAAGTATTAATTTTCTGTTTTCCTTTTGCAGAAGGCTTGCTACTGTCGAGGAAAATCCTGAACTTACTCAAACTGCCAAACTAGCCCAAGTTTTTAAAGATATATTTACTGCTGTAACATCTTGCAAAGGTAATAGTGATACCTTCTGAAAATATTATTTATCTATATAAAATTTCGAAATTCTAGTTTAAAATAATACTATCGTTCTAATTTTTTATATTGTTATTGCCTAATAATAAGCCTAATTTTAATAATAAATTTATAGAATTAAAAGTTTTTTTTTTAAGAATGTGTTATTTTTTTGTTTTGTTTTGCTTCTAAATGTTTTATTTTTTTTGTTGAAAGTATTGTCTAATTTTTTATTGTTTTATTTTAGGGGAAGATGGTGTAGCTTTAGCTAATCCCTTTTTCCAGTTACCATCAAAGAAAAAGTAATGAGTTTATTAACTAAAACTTTTGTATTCTAATAATTTAATTTTTATAAAATCAAGCCTGAAATGTTGAGTTTTGTTTTCAGAAAAGTTTTTTTTAGGAGTAATTAAAGTTTTAACTACCCTAAATCTATCAGATAAATTAGGTTAGACTTTAAAAGGCAAGTTTAGGTAATGTAAGTTTGTGTGTAAGTAAGGTAATGTAAGTCAAGAAAATGTAAGTTTTACGATGTGTTTTCTAAAACTAATTTTTTAACCTGATTTTTTTTTAAATTTTCACTGGTTTTCAAAATAGAAGAGAGTGGCTAAGTTAGATTTCTTCTCCATTGTTAATATTTTAGACATTCTATTTCATTTCAATTGTTAGATTAATATTAGGTTGAATTATTACTGACTTCAAAGAATACTTTTTTCCCCCCTTCAAATGATTCTTTACAAGATATTTCTAAAATTTTAAGTATGATATTTCCTGAGTTACCTTTTCCTTCATTATTATTAATCTTGATATTGTCAAGTTATGTTCTATTGCTATTGAGAATAAAGTAAGTTATTCGTAACTGCAATTGTAAAGGTAATTTTATATTTATTTATTTTTAAGAAAATAGAGTTAAACCTCACTATCTCAAACTGCAGAAAAAAACAAGAAATTTAAAATGTCAAAAATTTTTGTTAAAAATCACATGTTATCAAGATTGGAATAAAGAAGAGAAAAAACATTTCTTGCATACCTTTTTTTATTGAAATAACACAATATGCAAGAACATTTTATATATAAACAAAATTGTTCCATTGTTGTTTGCATAAAAGAAAAATGTGATTTATCAATTCACTTTCTGAGTGGATAACAGCTTTAAATGTATTCTAAAACATATGTGACTGACTTCCTAAACAACAAGAATTTCACCAATGTTAAGTTTTCTTCATTTACTTGGACTATAATTGAACTTTTTTAGGATAATTGCTTTATTTGTTTAGAATTAACAATCTGCAGCAATTGCTTAGAGTTATTAGCAATCCCAAATTCTTTTGCATTTCAGTTGTAAGCGTATTCAATTTTTATTTAATATGCATTCTGAACAAATGACTCACGAAAAGATTTTACCATCTGAAAATGTTTCAGAATAATTTTTAACATATTTCAGACCTGGCATTAGATAATTTGAATATAAACTGATGATAGAAAAGGTGAATTTGAAGAAGGTTTCACCATTTCAAATTGTTCTTTTGGAATGATTTCTAATTTTTTCAGGAGAGACATTAGATAATTTGTATACAAGACTGAAGAGGTATGCAATGACATGTTTATTTAACTGCTCTTTGATGGGGAATTCTATTTTCGTCTTTTTTTTAACATTGGGTGAACACTTTTTAAAAAACATTGAGTTAATAATTTCAAAGCTATTCGCCTTGTTGTTCATGCCTTCATTAACTGTTTTGCTGAATATACACCACTTCCGTATTGAGATTTGAAAAAGAAGGGGGGGGGAATAAGCAATCAAAGCTTATTACACCTGTCGGAGAAATTTTTTTTTAACTACCTGTTCAGGGGTTTTTAGGGAAGCTTAGCAATAAATTTTATTACATCTAAATCTAAGTTTTCAAATGACTGAAGCCCTTAGTAAAAACCTATGTTATTGAAAAAATTTCATAATTTGAAAGTTCAGGTGTCAGTATTGTATTCAAGTATTAGTATACATTTAAAAAGATTATTTGAGTTCTAATTTTATTCGAATTAATAATAAAATAAAACTGATTGAATGTTCAAAAACTATTTAAACATTGTGTGTATCTTGTTATAATATCTTGAAAAAACTCTTGTCTTCTTCATTTTAGTATTTAAAGATGTGCATTTTTATTTCTGCATATATATATGTAATTATTTTTTGCATTTTAGAAATTCTGCTTATTACAACAAAATAAAATTCCCAATCGATTTTGCTATGATCGAGAAGAATATTCTAACCGGCCATTATACAAATGTTGAAACATTTGAAGATGACTTTTTGAGATTGTTTGAAAATGCTGAAGTAAGAAATTCTGTTATTCTATTTTTCATGTTACACTGATGTTATTCGTTATATTGTTTCATTCAAGTTAAGAGTTCTTGTTTATAGATTATTATGTTTCTAATTTAAATGTAATTAATATAATTTTAAAATCACTCTCCACTAATTCATTTATCATTTACTAATGTATAATTACATTTTTCTTTCACAACTATTCTATACAAAATCAAATTAGTTTATCCCAGAGCATTTATTTAAATAATCCTAAAATGCTCCACACTTTGCTCGTACTCTGTAACAAAATTGAAAGAATTAACGGTAAGTTCTCTATATTTTAAAAGCATAAGTTAATAAAAAAATTTAATTTAGNTACTATCGTGGAAATTCAGCTTTTTTGCGTTTTGGCTAATCTCATCCCTGAATATAATTAATAATTATAGTAAGGAATTAATTATAATCTTAAAAAAAATTATTTTGTGTGGGTGAGTGATACTTAGCAAAATTTGCAACATTTGATTGATTCATTTATAATTTACACTGAAAAATTTATTTTAATTTTATTCTTGATCATATTGTTTACATGTTTTACAGTCAATGTGTACCCATATCTTCACACATAGATTCTTTTTAAAAAAATTTGTTCATTAAAATAAGTTCATTAATTACTGATTTTTAGGAGTTTTATGGTAGAACTTCTGATTTTGGGCACAAGATTTCTTTGTTGCGTAAAGCTTATGAAGCAGCTAAAACGGATGCAATGATAATGTTTGAAGATATCCTCGGCGAAGCTATGTCATCAGTTTTTACGTCATCCAAACCTGATGGTACATACCCTTTTTCATTAATACTTAATTTTAATGTAACTGAGAAGATATCATTTGATTATTATTAACAGTTATTTAATATTGGTCTAATTATTAAATGACAGTTATTAGCCTTTATATATAATATTGTTATTTAACAATGGGCTCTAAGATCATTATTACTTTGAATTTATATCAGTAAAACAATACTTTGGTTTTTGAAACTTTGGTTTACATTTATGAAATTTTAAGAATTAATTTTAGAGTAAAAGAAGGAAATTAGAAGAGCATTTAATTTCTGTTGCTTATAACTGCATGTTAAACTTAAAATAAATAACATGATTTTATGATGGTACCTAGTTATTTTTTGGCTTGTTTGTGCCGTTCTTTTGTTCTTATTCTTATGTGTTATTCATTATTTATTGTGCAGTTGAATGTCATTACCTTAACTAAGTAATGTTTTATTTGTACTTTAAATTTGCTATGACGCAGCCACATTTCATTATGAGCTAATAATTTTCACTCTATTAAACTAATTAAAAGAAAATTTTATTTTGAAAAAATAAAAAATTTCCTAATGGAGTTATTTTTTAACATGTACGTTTAATAATGTATTAGCATTACTTCAGTGGGGTGACTACTGTTCCAAAGATAAACATTTTTCCACAAAATTGTTCCAAGCACATTCAAATTCATGTATGCTATGTTTCAAAATAAGTTTTTTTTTTATGAAAAACTTTACCATTTCGGCAAAACAGTCATCCCACACAAAAATGTATTAGATTTGTTCCTAAACAATTATATTCATTGTAATCATAAAATAGTGAAATTGGTAATTCTCATTACATTTTTATATCTAGTTATTTAAAAAAAAAATTTCATTTTTGGGCACTATTTTAACTGAAGTATAATTTTTTTTTTTACTACTCTGAAACAAATGAAATTGCTACACTAAATTGCACCAAAGCCAATGAAATTTGTAGCTTAAATCAATGTTATTTATATTTGTGATTCTATCTTATTTAATTTTAAATAATCTTTCCCTATTTGCTTTTTTTTTTTTTTTTTTTTTTTTTTTTTTTTTTTTTTTTTTTTTTTTTTTATTTTTTTNTTTTTTTTTTTTTTTTTTTTTAGTATTTATGTCTGTTTATATTCTTGCTTCTTATGCTCTAAACACTGAACTTCTTATAGAGCCATGTAGGATTTTTTATGAACTGCTTTAGCTTTAATTTTGAATGATAATTTTTATTTTATCAGAAAGGAAGCTGATGTGCTTATTGTTTTAACTTAGTGTGTTACCGATATGAAAATTTAAAGTATTATGTTTAATTCTTTTTCCTAACATTCATCAAAGCTGTTCTAGAGTTTGTTTTAGGTTCATTTTTCTAAAAAAAAAAAAAAATTTGAACTATTACAATGCATTTAGTTCAATATGTGTATTTGTTGCTCTTAAAGCTTAGAATTAGATACACGCATTTTAGCAGTGCACATAATTCAAATATCAAATAATTTGGCAGATTCTGCTTTTATTACTTAGAATTTTTTGGTGTGAGAAATTTTATATTATATCTATTAGTTATAAAATCAGCCTAAAAGTTGATTTATCATTGTTCAGTTGTTCAAAAATTGCTCATAAAATGATTAATAGCAGAAGAATTATTACTTTCTTATATTCAAGTGCTACATATTACATTCATTTTGACATAACTGCAAAGCTTCTTTTATAATAATAATATTTATCCTTGTGTAATATTTTGTAGATGCTAAAACTGATGAAGATGATGAAGTTATACGCTGTATTTGTAACATCTATAAAGATGAAGGACTTATGATTCAATGTGAAAAATGTTTGGTAAGTTTATAGAATATGCATTATAAACTAACTATTCATAAAATTAGCTCTTTGTTTATCTAAGCAGAACTATTTAAAGTAAATTTTCTTTTTATTTGTATTTAATAAAAACTTCTTGCAAGTTTTGAACATGAGAGGTTTGTCTCATATATTTATTAGAAACTTTTTTCTAAATTTTTAGCGTAAATTTAAGTTAACATTAGTTGACATTTTATAACTTATAATACTCGTCATCTGTTTACAATATTACTCTTTACTAAAATGATTAACTACCCTGTTTATCAATAATCAGGGCGGCCACTCACCTGCAAAACAAAGAATACCTGCAATTATCAGGAAATTTTTTTTATTCTAGGGAAAATCAGGGAAATTCTGATAAAACTTGGAAAAACCAGGGAATTTTAAAGCAAAACTAGAAATTTTTCTTCTTCAATTTTCTGAATTCCGTTATTATTTTATCATCTGTTATTCACACTTTCTTTAGGTGCAAATGTATTGCCAAACAAATTCAGATAAAACTTGGAAAAACCAGGGAATTTTAAAGCAAAACTAGAAATTTTTCTTCTTCAATTTTCTGAATTCCATTATTATTTTATCGTCTGTTATACACACTTTCTTTAGGTGGAAATGTATTGCCAAACAATTGAAATATCGTCAACTTAGCTATACAATCAAAATTTTCTCTATTATACCTTGTGAAACTAGATAAGATCCGTGCTAGAAAAAAAGTGGTTCGAAATTTCAGAACGCTTTAATGCGAAGAAGTTGCGTATTGTAATAAGAATAAAATTGGCATAAAAAATTATGAAATCTATAAATATCTTCTGTTTGCACGTAATAAGATTTAAAAACTTAAAAAATTGCTCCTTTTTTTAAAAAAAAATAAATAAAGTTGGCCAAGACTTATGAAATAAACATGCTTCAGTTTTTTATGCTTGTATAATAATTTGAATATCCGAAATAAATTAAATTTTGATCAATGATTTAATTTTTTCATTCATGCAACATTTTAGAAAAAACTGATTTTTCTTGATTTTCAAAGTACAATACCACATCTCTATTAGTATATCTCTTTACTCATTATGTTAGAACTCACCATGTGTAGATGGTTGCATTTCAAGTTCCACCTTTACCTTACCCAATTAACTATCCAATTTTGTATGTGTTTTTTTAATTATATTTACAAATATTTTTAATGAAGTAATATTATTTAGCTTATTGAGTTATTAAGATTTCTTTCTTATGCTTACTATTTATATAAAATCTGATTTTTCGAAGAAAAGAGGTTGAACTGATCTAGATCATAGTATTGCTCATATATATCTATTTCTACCTTCATGTTCGAATATTTTATTCTAGCTGCTGTAACAAGTTTTATATAGCTTTCTAAAGCCTGAGAATGACAAGGAAAGTGGTATTTTTCTGATGTGCATGGTGCCAGAATTGATCAGTGATTTAATATTATCTTCACTTTATCGCAGCATTGGGAAAAGATATGCCACAAAAGAATTCTAATTAAGGAGAAATACTTTCAAATAATCCAAATCTTTTGAAGTTTATCTTCCGTAGTACGAAATTTGGTCTTTGCTAGAACAATTTCCTGTCAGAACAATTTCCTGTCAACTAACAATATATGTTGTACATTTTAAATTCAATTACTTCGGACATAGAGTAGAAGGCTCGGAGAATCACTTTTTAGTTCTTTTGCCCCATTTCAAACCGCTAACTTTTGTCAATCCTGTCCTTAGGTTGTATATAGGAGGAATCTCAAAAGTAAGACAAACTGTTCCAAAAAAGAAATCTGTTAGAAATTTTGTGCTACCGAATTTTAAAATCATGAACTGGTATTCTACAGTATATCCTTTCATCCTTCCCCAATGCTGCACAATTTAAGTGAGATATTCTTGTATTTAAATCACACATTTTGCTGACGCATCAAGCAATGAAGAAATACCAAAATTTCTCCATCACTCCCAGACTGTAGAAAACTGTGTCAAACTTGTGGCAAAGCTGCAAACAAAATATGCAAACATGAAGCTAGATAGATCTATCCAAGCAACACTAGAGTTTAGATCAGTTATGCCTCATTTCTCAAAAAATTCTGACTTTAGATATATAGTAGATGAAAAAAAAGAACCTTAACAATGCAGTAAGCCAAAGAATCCTACTACATTGAAAATCTTTGAATATTGTAAATATACTGCAAAAAAAAAAAAATTGTTGGTTGGGTAGAGTTTAGGTAGAGCTAGATTTATAACCATTAAGGTGTAGATTGTTTTGATCTAGAGTAAAGAGTGAAGAGGTAAACAGTGAAAATTATGAAGAACTGATAAACTTCTAGGTTTTTTTTCTAAAATGTTAAAAAATTCAGTTATTGATCAGAATTTAATTTTATTTAGGATATTCAAACCATCATACAAGCATAAAAAAATCAAAGCGTGTTTATTTCAATTAAATTTGTCAACTAAAAAATTTTAAAAATTGGGATTGTTTTCAAGTTTTTATAAATTTTAAGTGCATAAGGGGGAAGATATAAATAGATTTTAAAAAATTTTGCTCTGTTTTAATTCTCAATACAATAGGCAACTTTTTAACACTATAGTGTTCTAAAATTAAAAATTCATTTTTATCAACCTACTCTAGTGGGAAACTTCCTTGATTGCTAAGTTTAGTTCATGAAAACAAGGGTCACTTTCCCCCTAAAATTCCTTAAAATGGCTCTTTTTAAAAGTAAGTAAATTGTTAAATTAATGATAATAATTAATATATAATATTGTATATAATAATCTGTCAATTTAAATGTCAATAAATAGAAATAAATTAAAAAATATATGAATGTATCAAGTGAAATTATTTTCTTTCGCGTAATAAAAATATATGTAACAATATTTGTCCAAGATTTTTTATGTCATTCTGCATTTGCTTTTGGTGCACTTTTTACAAAAATTTCTTTAAGTAACACATTAAAACATTTTTTATTCAATAAAAGCTATATATTCTACAAGCTAAACATGTTGTTTTCTCCTCATTTTTCTTAATTTATTAAAAATTAATGTTGTACCAAGACATTAAAATTGTTTTTAAAAAGAGTCTTGCTAAATTGTTAAAATAAATGTAATGTAATTATTTATGCAGGAAACTTTGTAATTATTTTGTTTTTAAGTATTATATTAAAAACATTGTATTTGAAATAAAATACTTAAAAATATTGGCATTTTTCGTAAGGGTTAAGTACCCATCTTACACTTTGTGGGAAAGTGTAAGATAATTATTTTCAAAGAGTGTTAAGGTGGTAAAACTCACTTCTTGAAGGCGGTAAAACTCACATGAAGAAGTTTGACCAACAAGAATTAAACGGATCATTAAAATGTCTAAAAAAAATAATTATAAAGGAAAACAAAAAAAATTTATTGATGTGATGTTTATTATTATTGTATATTTGGTAACATAAAGAATTCACTTTTTTTCTAAGTGTGTTAATGGCTAGGTACCAATAAAACAGAAACTTTCCTGGATAAGAAGTATATCTTATGTGATTTCTCCTTGATTTTACTTGCAAATTGTTGGTCGACAAAAACAACACATGATTCTGCTTGATACCATGCTGCAATCTGGTGCTGATCAGTTAAACTATTGGTTTAAATATAAAATTTATAATGCTGATCACACACCTCTTACATTTACCCATATATAACAATATCTTACACTTCATTTTTAAAAAGTAAATAAAATAAAAAGTTTGAAACAGTTTTTTTTCCCAACATTTTCAGCAACTAACTTAATTTAGAGTTGTTAAGCTAATATCACACTTGCTATAATTATTGTTGTTGTAAATTAAGTGTATTTTATATATACTCATTTTTTAGGTCTGGCAACACTGTGATTGTGTTGGTGTTGATGGAAAAGTTGAAAAGTATTTATGTGAGCAATGCAGTGGAATTGAATTATCAAAGGTATGTCACAAATTTGTAACCAATTTTTTTCAAGAATTTTATTTTTTCTGATTTATTTACTAAATATTTAAAAAAACATTTTAATATAATTAACATGTATTTTTATCTGCAAATACAAAGTGAAGTAATTTAGCTGTAATTGATATATCACCAATAAAAAAAATAAAAAAAATTTCTCCCCTTCTTCTTTTTTTTGAACATAAAAACTTTCTTATTCTAAAACTTTCTACATATAAAGGAAGTTTCAGATGAGTGACCAATCTAAAGTGTAGTGAATTTTTATGATAAATTTATTTTAATTGTAATTTAATTCAATACAATATACCTACAAGTTCTCAACTGGTGTAATAACATGACTACAAGCTAAAGTAAAATTAATTTTACCAAAAAAGGAAAATAAATTAGAATTTGTTTTCATAAAGATTTTGTTGCAGTTTTGTTTTGATCTAAGCATATTTGAAAAAGAACTGCAGAGTCCAGTGCAAACAAAGATGTCTCTCTCTAAGTTAGTAGGTAGATTTTAAAAATGATCTGTAAGATATTACTTTGAGAAGAATTTTTTTTTTAATATATTTATATTAAATTAAAACATTTAGATTTTTTTTAGATCAAAAAAAGGTTAAAATATTGAGCACCAAACACAAATCTTTAGATGTTATTGTGAGCTGGCATCCAAGGTTTTTTAACCTCTTGGTATATAAAGTATTTACAAAATTTATATTCTAATTTATCATTTCTTTGCACTACACTCTTCAAGTATCAATTCTGATATTTAAACTATGTAATTCTGATTCTGTCACAAATTTTATGACCACTTTATCAAACCTTCTTCCTGGAAACTTTATTTAACTTGATATTATTAAAAAATTGTAGTTTAGCATCTGACACTAAGAAATCTCACGTTTTTATTATTATTTTCAATTTAAACTTAAATTCAGGGATGAGACTCTTCCGCGGATTTCCGCTTTTTTTTTCTTCAGATTTTTCCATTTTCCCCGCTAATTTCCGCTGAAATTTTTTTTTTTGCACAAGTTAAAATGTTTTATGAGGAATTNTCCTCTTTTTTACTTTTTGACTACTCTCATCCCTGAAAATTAAAGTTATTATTTTATATTAAGTGTTATAATTTTAAAAAAAATTTTCAGGAAATACTGATGATTCCTCGACCTCACTATGCAACTCCTGAGTGCCAGTATTATTTAACACTTCTGCTCAATGACCTTCAAATAAAGCAAGGTAAGCCTTAAACAAACTATATACATAGATACATTTGTAGTTTTATGTTTTGTGCTGATGTTTTTATATAATTATACAGCAGATGCTTTTTGAGGTTTTCAGTTTTATAGAGATGTAGATTGATGAAATGTAATGCTAGATGGAGGGAAATATAAGATTTAGGATTATTTACAGTTCCTAACAGGACTGTTGAATTGAAATGGTTAAATTTCAAAATATATGTTCTTTGCGTTGTCTTCTGTAATGTTGATATCTCTATATCATGTTGACACAAATTATTTTTTCAAATTATGCTTTAGATTTCTTTTTCTGTAAAGACAGCAGGGTTGCTAACTTGCAGCAGTGCTTTTTGATTACTGCAGAGCTATTTTTCCTTTTATTTATTTTTTTTGTCAAAAGGAGATATTTTTCTTAAGTAATATGAATTAATTAATGAAAAAATAAACATTTTATTTATGACAAATCATTTTATTTTTTTCACTAACAAAAATAATTTTTAAAATTTTTAATTGTATTAAACTTGACACACTTTCAAAAGTATACAAAGTGCATCTCTAATAATTGAAGGGGAGAAATATACCATATAATAAGGAGCAAACTTTTCTAGCTTTAAAAGTGCTGGGGTTGTTACAATAGAATGGATACCAAACCATTAAGACACAGTTGGATAAAGTGAAGTCAGATCAATTTTTGTGGGAAATTGAATTCCTTCTCAAGCGTGGGATAAGCTAAACCCATTACACCAACTGGTTGACCTAATAAATAAGTAATTGATTTAAATTATATGTTTATTAACTTTCTGAGCATGGGATTTTCATATGATAGTGATAATTTTTTTGAACCTAAATTCATGGAGCAAAAATCTGTCTTATGAGGTTACTGAATATTACTGCTAAACATTATATATTGCTTGCAAATATCCAATAGAGTATATATCTTTTATCATTATCTTATTATTTGAATTTATTTCATCCATTAACATTTTAACTAAAAAATTTTATTGTCAGCAATGACAATTTATTCTCCATTAATTCTGATTTAAACTCTGAGTAAATAAATCTTATTATTTTTTTCTCTTGTAAGTTTAATGGTCATGAAATGGTTTATTTTTAGGAGATTGTGTTTACTTGAAATCAGATGGAGAAAACTCTTCTCATTTATCAAATGAAAGTGTTCAAAACCAGATTCTTTCCCAAGGTGAAAGTGGTGATGTACAGGCTAGAAACAGTTTAAGGAGTAAGAAAGCCGAACAGTTTGATATCTTTCGCATTGAACGGCTTTGGAAAGATGAAAAGTTAGTATTGTTATTTGTTAGAAAATAATTATTTTATTGGCATATTTCTGTATTCTTAAAACAAAATGGCATTAATGTTTGTAGGTTTTAACTGAGAATAATGTATTAGAATTTGTTTTTGCACCATTTGTTTTACATTATTTCCCTCTTACTGACCATTTTTTTAAATTTCTTTTTTTATTTATAACCTGCTTGTTTATACTTTTCTTACTGCTTGTTTCGAGTGAATACTGTAACTGTCACCATTTTGTATTTATGCAGGGTTAAAAAACCACGTTAAACATATCTTTTAATTTTTTAAATTAAATCTAAAATCCTACAAATTAATTCATGATGTTTATCCAAAATTTTAATGCAGTGTTGATATTTTTTTGTCTGCTAGGAATAATAAGTTTGCCTTTGGTCACCATTACTTACGTCCACATGAAACGTATCATGAGCCATCAAGAAAGTTTTTTCCCAATGAAGTATGTATCTTCTTTTAAATTTCAGGCAATTACTAATTTTAAAAAAAATATAACACTTCAGAACAACTGTTTTCTAGCTATGCATCATGTTGTAGCTTTCTGTCAATGTTTACATTGTCACTAACAACAAGCAAGGTTAATAAGACTTAGAAAGCTATTTCTAAACTCATGCAGTCTTTTAGTTGTTAAACAAAGTAGCAATGCTATATTTCAGACAGCTTTATTCATGTGTATGATTGTGTGAGTTTTTAAAGCAGTATGAATAACTGAAAATTTCTTTGTTTGTGTATTTAGATAAAAAAAAAATAAAAAAAAATAGTTGGTATATATTAATAAGGCTTGGGGTGGAAACAAAAAAGACTGCCATCATCTTTTTGCTAACTAATTTGAATTCACATAGAGCAAAAAAAAGTTTTGCCGAATATAATTTAAATTAAAATAACTTCAGTTAGGTATTGAAAATAATTTTTAATTGATGAAATCCATATGGAAGTATAGAAAGACGTTTTGTGTATTATTTATGATGCTTTGATAATTTAAATTAAAATACAGTACGGAACCCGTTATCCGGAAATCAGAAAAACGGAAAACCAAAAAACCGGAACGAATTTCGATAAATTTTCCCGCCATTTTAAAAAAAAAAAAATTTTTTTTTTTCTTCCTCATAAGATTTTAGGATTTTTCGTTCTTTTTTGAAAGATGTTTACCTTACCATCATTTTGAAAATAATAATTAGTGATTTACTTCATCGGTTTTTCTTCTTTTTCAGATTATTTCCAAATATTATTTTTTTTAATTGGGTTTAACAATAAAAAAAACGGCTTTTTGTGGCGATTCAGAAAACCGGAAAAATCAGTTATCCGGAATAGCAATGGTCCCGATTGTTCCGGATAATCGGTTCCCTAGTGTAACTTCAGTTAGGTATTGAAAATAATTATTAATTGATGAAATCCATATGGAAGTATAGAAAGATGTTTTGTCTATTATTTATGATGCTTTGACAAATCATGGTTTTATTACTTTGACAAATCATGGTTTTATTACTGGTATAAAAGTCTACTTTCAGACTTCATTGCAATTTAAGACTTGCAGAGTTGGAACAATTGCTCAAATTGCTCCATAATGAAGTTTCTGTTCTAGCCTGCTACAAAATGCCGTTTTTTACCAAAATTGCTCTAAGCTGCTCCAAACTCTAATAATATTCATTGAACAAAAAGTGGAAATTTAGGCCAATTTGGTGCTAAATATGTGTGCAAAAATCACTTTTGTTGCTCTTAAACCTCCAGCAATTTTAGTTTTTCATCTAAATGTGGATTAACTTGTTTAGTTAAGTGAATTTTTCCTCTCATCGAATAGAACAGGGCAAGAAATTATTACTAAAATATCTAGTAAATTCACTTGTACAATAATTTCGCTTATATGTTATAATAAAACATGTCAAATACACAAAAAAAAATTTCAGGGAATGCAAAAATTAGTTATTACTTGCCCCTTGAGACATGTAGTTCTCCAGCACAGAAAAATATATATATTGTGCTAGCAAAATTATAGCCTAATTTTAAATACATATGAATAAAAATCTTTTTCTTCATTAATTGTAGGAGGAGAGTAGAAAAATTTTGAGTGTCATATTACAAAATAATTTTTCTTGATGCAGGTGTTAGATTAGTCCTAATTCAGGGTTCCTACGCGGTCAGGAAAACCTGCAAAAGTCAGTATATTCTAAAATTAAGCTAAAAAGTCAAAATTTTTCTTACATACTCATCAAGTTAGGAAAATAAAAAATAAGAACTATCGTTCAAAGACTGACAGGTAAAAATAAAGTTTTAAGGAAAAATTCTGTAATTCAAAATATGTAATTTCCTCATAATAACATTCCTCTTTCCCTGGTAGAACCTGTCCTGTTAGCAATTTTCCTCCTGTTTATCCAATGATAAGGAATTTTTGATAGGGTTGCTATGTTTATTGCTCTTTGTGTGAATAACTAGTTTACAGACAACAGTAGCTGAAACAACAGCAGAAAAGGAATTTTTACTGTTTTGTGATGCTGCCAAAAAAAAAGAAGAGCAAAAAAGTTTCTTAGAGTTTAATCCACAGCAAAAGAGATTAGATAATTATTTTTTTCGAAATATTTGCAGAGTAAAAAAAATTAAAAATTTGTGGGAGGTTATAAAAATTGTTCTTATCCTCTCTCATGGTAAAGCAGCAGTCGAAGGGGGGTTTCAATCAATAAAAACTTATTGGTTGAAAACCTCAATGAAGACTCTATTATTTCACAAAGGCGTGTGTATGATTATGTTTCATTTATAAATGGAATAAAAAACATTGACATTAATGAAAAAATGCTAGATGCTGTGAAAGGATCTAGAACAAGATGGAGACATGCATTAGAAGCCAAAAAAAGAAAAACAAAGAGATTAAAAAAGCTGAAATTTCTAGAAAATGAATAAAAGAAAAGAATTTGAAATTAAGAATATCTAAATTGACCAAAACTGCTGCAGCAGAACTGGATGTTCTTGATTCAGAAATTGTCAAACAACAAAATATGTTGAGAAATATTATATAACATAGGAGCCCCTGAGTTTCTCTGGAAGCTTATAGTATTACAGAAATAAATTTAAAAATACTGAAAAAAAAGTTTTTTTTTATTTTATTTTTCTCACAAGTTGCATAATTTTTCTATCTGAACTTTTATTTGTATATAATTAACTTTTCTTGACTTTTTTTCCCTTTTATATTTCAATATTATCTTTTAAAAGAAAAGTCAGTTTGAAGTGAATTGGTGATTCTTAAAAATTAATAACTTAATGTAACAAATGTTCTCGTATATTTTAAGAAAATATTTTTTGAGGATACTGATACATATCTCGCGGATTTGATTAACCCTTTATATCCTGACGACACTCATGCATTTGGTTCCACTTAACATTAAATAAAATAATATTTCCATAATCCAACAGATTTTCTTGATCTTTTTATTTAAATAGTTTTCGTATCTAACTACAAAAACACACTAAAAGTTTAATCTAATCATGATAATTAAAAATATGTTTCACAAGTTTTCTGAAAATATAATTTGGGATATAAAGTGCTATTACACAATTTCACTTTAATATATAAGTGTTTATCGTTATTCAATATATGATACTTATGACTAAGTAGCATATTATTACTAATTGAAACTGCAATGTTAAAAATTTTGTTGGAGTGGGAAACGGCAGGAATTTTATTATAAAAAGGTCAGGGAAAACCTTCAAAAGTCAGGATATTGTTTTCTCAAAATAGTGTAGGAACCCTGTAATTAAAATCCCTAATTGTCCAGAGCTCTTCTTGTTCTCAAATTTTTTGTTTTTTCTATGAATAGATAGGTGAATTTTGAATGTGCATATTGATCGGTTGATAAAGAGGAAGATAATTCATATTTCAATAGGAATCAGATGTCTGTAAAAAAAGGACCCAAAAATATGAAAATTCTGAATCATGAAACCTGTCTTTTTCAAAGTATAGTGAAGTCACTGTTGTCATAATACATAATATTGGAATTAGAAATGCCATGTGTAAGGTGTCTTAATGAGGATTTACTATAGAATTGGTGCAAATAGAGCAAGTCAAAAAATAATACCTTAGAATTTTTGCTTACGTATGTAGTAATAATATTCTTATTAAAGTATCAAAATTAGGAAAAAACAAGTGAAAGTGGCATATAAAAATAATTGTAAAATGTAAAATTACTATGGAATCAGGCGGGTCAAAAAGCGAATAAATTTTTAACAAACAGTCAGTAATCAAATGCAACGCTCGAAAGTCTTAATCACATTGTTATCGCATGTAATAAAAAATGTGATATAAACCTGCAGAAATAAATTCTTAAAAAGATTTTATCTTCACAGGAAACCCATTAAATAAATTTTTTATGTTAAATATCTATTTAAGTAATTCTTTGTTGCATTTGTGTTACATTTTTTTTATTTAATAATGCTTTTTTAGCCAAGCTCTATTAAACATGTTAATTTATGTGCTGAAAAATCTAATTTAAAAGCACTATTTATTTGCACCGAAACACATTTTTTCTCCTCTTAAAGGATTATGCTGTTGTTTCATCCCTGGACATTGATTAATGCACCGTAAATTATGGTGAAATTTTTCTATTTCTTTTAATGCTCATTTTTCTTAGCTTCTATGCCCTCAACTTTTTTTTTCTTTAAAGGTTTTCAGAGTACCACTTTACGAAAGTATTCCTTTGGATTCGATTGTTGGTCTTTGCTCTGTTCTTGATTTACCTACATACTGTAAAGGGCGACCGAAAGGATTCAAAGAAGATGATATTTACATTTGTGAATATCGTGTTGATAAAACAGCTCATCTTTTCCATAAGATATCGAAAATAAAGTAAGAACAAAACAGTTCTTTGTGTGTGTTAAATTGAATTGCAATTGATTTTAAAATTAAATGTAGCAACATTTTATGTTTCTTGTGGTTATCATAGTAGGGCTTTAAATACTAAAGTTATAAAATGAAATTTTCTTCTGAATTGATTTGTTCTTCATTGTTGCTATTTATTATAACTAATTGTTACTATTAGCTATGAAACATGTTTACTGTTGGTCTTTCCCATGAATGGCTTAATTAAAATCAAAAACAGATTCTCATTTAAGCCAGAGTAGGATTTCTGAAAAGTATTTTTTCTGTTCTTCATTTAGACTAAGCTAATATTATCAAAGCTATAATAACTGGTCTACATAATTTTTGAACAGTTTGCCATAGCCGATACTTTTTTTAATGCATTGGCATTTAATTGATTTGATTAATTGAATTACATTTAACAAGACAAAAAGAAAATTAATTTTTTTGTAATCACAAAGTATGAAAGGTTGTTGTGCTTATAGGTGGAAATTTGTCTCTAGCTATGGTTATGCAACAAGGGTATCAATAAATGTTCACTTAAATTTACCCATTTTTCTTTTTATACATATTTTAAGAACGGAAAATAGAAAACAAAAAGTTACAGGCCATATTTAGTTAATTTTTTGATGAATTTAATATTCTAGTGCAAATGGTAAAAGCAAAAAACTGAAAATATTTAATAATTTTTACACTTTATAATGAAGCCATGCAAATAGCTTCATGCATATTTTTGTGCTCACACGCACATATATATATATACAGTGCAGCCTCGAGAATCCGGACTGCTGGGGGGGGTTGGAAGGTCCGGATTTCCGAAATTTCCGGATTTTAGATGCCTTACTTGAATTGATAGAATTATCGAAGTTTCGAATTCGCCAGGCCGCGTGTGTAGACCTCCGACGTCAATTTTAACATAAATATACTCTTTAAATAATAAATAAAAGACATTAAAAATCAAGCTTTCGTCATATTTCCCCGCAATCGATCGTTTAGATAACATAATATTAGCAATTAAAACTAAAAATATATGCTTAAAACGCGAGCTGAATTTCAACTTATAACCGAAACAGATGCTTCTAGACTAGACTGTACCAGCTGATACTAATCCTTTTTTTGTTGGGGGATGAAAGAACTTGTCCCCGCCTCCTAAGCTTCAAGGTTAAGAAAGAACCAGTTTTCTTTCATCACAAGGAGGAAACACAAGGAGATGGAAGAATTCCTCCTTCTGAGGGGATTCCCCTTCAGGAGGAGGGGGGATTCCCTTTTATATTCATTGTTATCTATACAGAACTGATAAGAATGACTGGAATTCCTTATCAGCTATGAGTTTTCATTCATTCCCCACTTCTACCTCTTCATCTACTGCTTCATTGTTGCAAAAGAGTTGTGGGATTCCCCTTCAGGAGGAGGGGATTTCCCTTTATATTCTTTGTTATCCATACAGAGCTGATAAGAATGACTGGATTTTCCTTATCAGCTACCAGCTTTCATTCACACCCCACCTCTACCTCTTCATCTACTGCTTCATTGTTGGAGAAGAGTTGTGGTTTTGCATTAAAATTTTTATTCCAAGCGATTATTTTTTAATTTTTTCTGAGGAACTGGACGTATGAGTCCGGATTTTAGAGATTTCCGGATTTCAGAAGTCCGGATTTTACTTAGAAGACTGTATTACAAAGCACATTATCAGAAATGAAGTAGTTTATTTAATTCATAAGAATTACATTGATTAAATATGTAGAAAAATGAAAATCTTTCATTTTTTGTAGTATAAAACTAACTGCAAGTGATGCTTGCAATTTTGGTTGTTGAGTTGCAATTTTTAAACTCCACATTTGCAATTGGTACTTTCGAATGTTTTAAGTTTTTATGTTTGTTTAGTTGCAATGTTTTAGTTACAAATTTTGTGAGAACAAATTTATTTTTGATATATCTTAAAAAGAGAAAATGTTACGAAACAGTGCTATTCTGTCATTTAATTTTGTTTTACAACTGTATTAATTTGTTTTAGGTATCCAATCTGTACCAAAAAATATGCATTTGATTACTTTGATAAAAAGCGAAATCCTAAAAGGACATTTTTGGTAAGAAGTATTTTTCAAAATGCATATTATCTTTTAAGTCAACCTTAATTTATTTCTTGAGAAATTTATTTTAATAATTGTCTAATATATAATAACTTTATTAATATTTTTTATGTTAAATTTGTATTATTTCAATATGTTTTAAAATTGTGCTACAAGTGTTATACTGCAGAATATGGTATTGTAAGGAATTTAAAAATAAAAAGGCTGTTTTCAACTATTATTGTTAAATTGTACTGGTTGTAGTTAAGACATATATTAGATAATAAATTTAATTAGATTTTAAGGTTGCACTTTTATAAAATTTATTTAAATGCTCTGTAATTTTTCAGCCTCATGCTGTGCCTAATAACTACCAGAAAAAAGGCTCTTCTGATCGGGGATCAGTAGCCGATAAAAAGTGTTCAAAACCTGAAGCTCAAAAAGAAGAAAAAAGAAAAAGGGGATCACATAAAGAGATAGAAATGAGGCTAGAGGAAAGTCCTGAAAGCGTATGTTCATTTTTTTTTTTTTCACCTTCTCTGATGTGTTAACTTTTCTATTTTCTTGAAAGTTTGAAACTAAACTATAATCATGCTGTATGTTACAGAATTTTTATTTACATTTTATTGCTAGGTGCATTGCATGTAAATCAAACAAGTTGTGACAGCATCCAACATTATTTGACTTAAGTTTTTTTTTGCGTCTCTAATTTAATCAGTCTTTAATACTCTGTCATGGGTAATAAATTAACTTTTCTGCCATACCGAGATTACTAATCTGATTACATTGGCTCAGAAAGTTTCATTGACAAATAACAGGTTCATGTAATGCAGGAAAGCATAGTAACTAAAGTATGTATAAGACACCAAATAATCTAAAGCACTTTTTTTAGTTGAAAAAAAAAATTTTTTATGGAGAAGTTTTTTCCATTTTATTATGCAGGTAATTAATATATGTCTCTTGTATAATAAACATAAGTTTTCTATTTCACAAAAGATTATCGTTTAATTTTTTTTTTTAATAACAAGGTTTGAGGCTTTAGTGAGAATAAGATTTATTTTAATTTAAATTGTTTTAATTATTTTTGTATGTTCATTAATAAATTAGTGCTATGCTAGGATATAAAAAAAATTTAAATGATACCCCACATTTTAAAAAATTGCTAGAATGATAGTCCCCCCCCACACACAATTTTATTAAATAAAGTTGCTAATAGTTTTTTTCCCCAAAAAATTCTTGCATTTTCTTTAAAAAAAAGTTTAAACTGTATCTGTTAAATGACTTTTGAAATATAATTTTAAAAGAAGTCTGATTTTGTAACTTAAAACATTGTCTCTTATTGATCAACAAATTTTAAGCAGGCATCTTGAACCTTAAAATTACTTTTTAGTTTGTAAAAATTTAATTAGTGGGTTAAAAGCTATTTAGAGTGCTTTTAAAAAATCATATATTTTGAATTGCATATTTAAGTTTGTGGCATGCACTTTTTAAAGTAATGTAGTTTTTTTGTTTCATGCGTTTTCGCATACTTTTGGAAATCCTAATATTTTTAATACGAGTTACTGCAGCAATCAAATGGTGCATTTAAATGTGCGCTTTATTTGTACCAATTTCACTGTAAATGGAAGGAATTTTTGAAAAAAATCCTTTTAGCAGTTATTGTTACGCTATTTCATTGTGTTTTGAAAATCTTGATATTTTTAATCTAGTATTATAACTACTAGCCATTTTCAAATTACAGTTTTAATACATTTTAGGCAGGCTTTATTTGTGACAATCTCATTGCAGAATGAATGAATTTTTTTTATTAATGTTCTTTCAATTTATTGCTAATGCTTTACCACAGTGTTTTAAAATTTCAGTATTTTTTATCCAGAATTATATCAACTTCCTGTATTATATAGATTTTTGAATCATGCATTTTAATAATCACTTTTGGTGTGCTTTATTTGTGGTGAGTTCACTAGCAATCTAAGTAATTTTTGATTTTTTTTCTATGCTTTTCAACATGATTTTGAAAATCTCAGTTATTTTAAATACAATATTAAGACTTGCATGCTTCAAATACTTCATTTGTGCCGATTTCATCGTTAATTCAAGTTATTTTTCAGCTTCTTTTTAAACTGCTATTGCACATTTCCACATTTTTACTTAAAAAATAATCTCAATATTTTTAAAAGGTTTACTGTTTTTTAACTTTGTTTACTTTTTTTGTAGTTTAAAGTGCTTAAAAAACCATTTGATATTTAACATTCATAAAATATCCTATAATTCCTGAAATATAAATATCCTAAAAGTTAAAAATATATTGAACAGAATTTCAAATTCCAACTGAATGTTGAATCTTATTTTGAGCTATAATGTGTTAGTTTTATTTTAAATCATTTTAGACTTCTTTAAATATCTTTGATTATAATATTTAATTTGCTTTTATGTTGCACAGTGAATTATATATATTTTTTTTCATTCATACGCTACAGTAATTTATTTTAAAATAAACTGCGTTTTGTGATGTAATAAAAAACCATTACTTTTTCCCTATCTCACTCTCTCTCTCTCTCTCTCTGTGTGTGTATGTATGTATGTATGTNTATATATATATATATTAAAAAGTATCTGTTTGGTATGCTTCTGTGTTGAATGAATTTTAATATATAAAAGAATTTTGCCCAAAACACTGATAATTATATTAAAATTATCACAATTGTTGCCAATGTGTCTAAATACTGGGCCTTGCAGCCCTTCATTGATCAACCTACTATGCTAGTGGCCCTTCATTCAAAAAGATTATTCAACCCTAATTTAGAATTCCAAATTTTTTTTTTTTGCACTCTTTAAAAAATGTAATACTTCTTTATTTTTCAGAGAGAAAATAAACGGACTCATTTAAACAAATTGCTGCTGCAACTTCTCAATCTTATGCCTTGCAAAGAAACTGTTGATTTGTCCTACCTTCTAGAAGGTGGATTAGGCAAGAGAATAAGGAGGAAAACTAATCTCTCCCTCAGCTGAGTTTAGTGGTTCGCCTGTAGGCGAACGTTCAGATTTCTCTCCGTGTCCTAATTTGGTCAAGAACTGCTGCCCTAGTATGCTTTTGGACAACTATCAAGGATGTAAACACTCTTATAGAATATTCAAAGGGCAGCTGCATCGCGCTGATCTGACAGTTATCGTGATATGTACAGCTGTATGGTGATTATCAAACCACATAAAAAAAAAGTAAATGTTTTTAATTGTCGTACAACCACATTGTATCTATAGCTCATTGTGCAGAACCTTGTATGACAAATATTCATTTGGTGTGGATTTGACTTCATGATTGTAAAATTTCTAAACTGTATCCACAGTAACATTTCATGCCAGTAAATACTTCTAAGTATGCCAAAGATGTGTAAAGCCATTAGTACATTCATTAATATTATAATTTAGTTAAGTTATCTAAATTTAAAGAAAAACTTTGCTTTGTATTTTTAAAGAACAATTTGTTGTCTTTGTTATTTTATTTTTTAATGATTAGTTTTTATAATGTTCCATATTAATAAATAGTTTGTTAAGACCCTGTATTTAAACACTGCTTAATAAATTAATGCATTATAACAACGTTACCACTCTTCAAATAAATTTTTCTGAAAATACCTAGATGGAATCTTTGCTTTGAAATTAAGTGGGAACCCTGCTATAATTTTAAAATTGTGTTTGAAAACTGAGTTTTAGATGTAAAAATATCAAGTTTTTTTTTTTTTTTTTTTTTTTTTTTTTTTTTTTTTTTNTTTTTTTTTTTTTTTTAATAATTTCATTTTATTACATTTTCTTTCATTCCAAGCAATTTTAATAGTTTATCATTCATTAATAATTTTTATTCACTCAGTAATTTTTTATCAAATTTTATTGATAGATCTTTAAAAAAATGCATTATCTTAATTATTACTATATGAAATACTCTGTTTATTAATGCATTTTTCTTTCTTTTTTTTTTGCGTCTCATTTTTAATAAAAACTCATTTCATCTTAAATTGATGGTCCTTTAAAAAAAAACACTGTTCTATATGATAATTCTTAAGTGTTACTCTGCTTTGAATTAAAAGACTTCTTCCAATATTTTCATCATCTGATGTTATGACATTTATTTCGTTCATGTTGTCTTTTATGATCCATATCTGGAAAACTAACAGTGTTTGTGGATAGAGTGTGGTGTTAAACTTTTATTTTAAGTTTACTGACAGAGTGTTGCATTTAGAATTTTTTTATGTTCAATACATGGCGTGGGAAATTTTATATTGTACATAGTAGATTTTTAATCAGAGATTTTATTCAGAATTTTTTCTTTTTAAAAAAATTTTCAATTTAAGACACAGCTCAAGAATTGATTTAATAAATTTCACAGGATGGCATTCATTCAAAATGTATTATACTAATATGTGCCCAAAATATTGTGAATACAATTATCGCTAAGACTAGTATATGAATCTTTATTGTATGAAGATTTAATTTCAATGTATCACTTAAATTGGGATTTTGATATTTGCACAGGTATTATTTAAAATGTGAATAATTTGTTTATAGGTAAATTAATTTATTTAATTCTGATAAAAATTGGTTTGTATGTGTTTGATTGTTGGTGAAACATTGCATCGATTTTGTGTATAGATAGTATTATAATTACAATTAAAAAAATACGCCTAATAAATTTTGGTATTGGTACCAATTTTTCCAATAAATGTGTTGTGTATAAACATAGTTATGAGCTGCAACAATATGTTGAATGTGCAATGATTAAAAATGTTGCTGGCCTTCAAAAATACTAATGTATTGCATTTAAATATTTATTGTCATTTTCAAAATATGTGAAAATATTTATTCAACAGATTATCTATGTAATTAAAAATTTAACTCTATTGAAGGAAAATTAATAAGTTACGAGATTAAAAATATTTTTTATCTGGTACCACAATGTTCAATCTTAAAATTTAACTCAACATTTAAGTGTTCTTATTAGTTAAAGTAAATTATATTTCACTAAGAAACAAATGTGGTTGCAAGCGGTCAGCTGTTGTATAAAGCATGAAATGTTTCAAGATATATTTAATTTTATTAAGAATTAAGTAAACAAAATAAACCCTTCCGTTGTAAAATCCGATACATCATTAAGGTTTCTGTGCCTAATTTTTTTTTCTTCTACAGGACACAGTTATTTTGGAAAATATTTTGACTGAGTAAAATTCGCATGGAATCTAAATTAAGCTTAATATCCTTATTTTAGAAATGAATATTTTGCTTTAGAATATTTTTTTATTTATTTATTTTTATAGCCGTCTTTGAACAACCGCTCCAATTTTATGGGTTTACGACTACATTATGTTCAACTCTGTAACCTTGTAATTTTGAANCCCAGTTATTTTGGAAAATATTTTGACTGAGTAAAATTCCCATAGAATCTAAATTAAGCTTAATATCCTTATTTTAGAAATGAATATTTTGCTTTAGAATATTTATTTATTTATTATTTTTTTTTTTGCTTAGCCCTTTATATCTCAACATCTCTGATTTTAATAAAAATTACTCATACATTAGAATACATCATTCTAAGCATGTAAAAAATAATAAAAAAAATTACAACGTAAAATAAGAAAAATTATTGGAAAAAAATTGATTGTTGCATTTCTGCACCCTTATGCAAAATGACAAAAAGTGCTTGTTGCATTCCTGCAACATTGTGAAAAATGGCACTAAGATTGAAAGATTCAAAAATTTTAATTCATATGAAAATTTTTAAAACAGTTGTTACTTTTGTTGTAACAAAGTTCTACACCACATTTCTCACAAATAGTTTGTAAATTCTTTGCATTTTGGGTATTGGCATCTGATTCTTTTGTTAGCCCAATTTCATCTTGGCGCACTGGTTTTGGCCGACAATCGCCGAAATCGTCCTTCAAAATTTGTTGGGGAAAGACATAGGCTTTTTGTGTATGTTGCAGATATGCGACACGGTGATATAAAGGGTTAAAAACCAATGAATTTGATGTTTTTGTTTAATTCCACTTATATGTTTCATAAACATCAAATCTCTACTAGAAACACAAAAATATATATGTATATATATTTTTAGTGTATGCTTAGTTATTTAAAGTGAAATTAATATATTTTTGCTGAGATAAACATAATCAGAAAAACTTCATTATAATATAATTATTACTATTAATTTCTAATACTGTCAATTAGGGATATTTTGACATTTTTACGAAATCGAGAACTTGACACACTGGAATTTTTATTTACTAATAGCTTCGACTTAAAGGTTTCAAATATTGATGGTCATTTTTATTATGAAATTTCCGTTTATTATTATTCTTTTGACTATAGGTCCTTATTGTTCGATTTACTTTTTCTCTTGATGTTTTCTAAAAAGTATTCTGCAGAATTCCTTACTTCTGCTCTACATCTTTCCTTTCATGGTATGGAGTTGTATCCACATTATAAGATGAAATTTATCTTTTAAGTTAAAAGTTCTTAACTTTCCTTTAGACTTTTTTTAGGGATAAACGTTTCTTCCATAAATACTTAAAGAGCAAATAATAAACTCAAGGATAATCAAAAGCTTAGTGGGCTTGAAAGAAATGAGATAAATTTGAATGCATACATCTCCATTGCATCCCTTCACTTCTTAATTCCATTTCAATACAGTGAATTATTACAGGTATACAAACATAATACTGGCATTACAGACAATAGATAACCTAGTTGACTCATTCCCTGCATTTATTAAAATTTTATTGTGCATACTTCACAAGAAGAGGACAAAAATTGTCACCTTTTTTCTCATAATTATTTTTAAATTTTTTTTTTTATGCTATTGAGTCATCTTTAAAAAATAATAATTTGTTCAATCGCCTTTAATTAAAAATTGGATTTATTGTGTAGATTCAACTCATATTTATACTTGTTTTCCTTGTTTTAAAATTGAAATATGTTTTTCTTTATAATGAACGGATTAAAAATACAACTGTCTTTTCAATAATGGTATTTTCATTCTAAGAGGTTATTTAAGTTGTACTTGATTTCTTTTTGATTTTATTACGAGCATAATAGTTACAAAGAAATAAATGTAATTAATTTTTTTAATCTATGCAAATATTCATCTTTTAAATTGGTGCTACAAAACTATGGTTTTCTTGTCTGGAACTGCTTGTCTCTTCTTATATTTATGCTTATTATTTTTTCCCACTTTCAAATGTGGGATTTTAATATAATTTATTTTTGGATTGCTTTTTAGCCAAAATTATTGTCTTACTTAAATGCACAATCATAGTCCGAATTTCCTCATCCGGATAATTAAGTAATATTACTGTGTAAAGAGTTCTTGTTAATATCATATTACAGTCGTCACTGGCATAAAATAATATTTCGTGAATCCCTGTAGTTATAGCATTTGAGTAGTCCAGTTTTTAAAGGAATTGGTTTTGGGTATACTGTACGTTGTATTGCTTTAAGTGGAATTGGTATGAGAATCATTTTTTTTAATACTCATTTGATGCTCACAAATTCTTGTTTTTATGTTGTCAGTGTAATTCGTGACTATATTTATAAAAATGTTTTAAGAACTGCCATATTTTTTCTTCCTTTCATATTTTGTAGGGTTTTGTCAGAGTCAGCTTTAATCATTGTTGCAGTGTAAATATAATTCATTCCTTTGCTGTTTACATAAGCCAGTCTATTAAAATTTTTTACTCAAAACTATTTGTGTGTTCTTTTTGTTCTCAATTTATTTTATTCGAAATATTTTTGTTATTCAGTAAAATAATATTGCAGAGAAATGTTATCACTTATAATTTACGAAAAGTAATAAATATACAAAGAGCTGTAAGATGATAGCACTTAAATTTTTCGTTTAATTTTATATTTAGAACAAATTATTTTGATGCTTTTAAATTTTCATTTAATTTGATTCTGAAAAAAAATTATTTTTATTTAATGCTTTAACATTTTTATTTGATTAATATTCAAACAATTGTTTTTTTATTTGATTCCAGAGACATAGTTTGAGTTAGCAGTGCTAAGGGACAAACTCAATTTCGGTACCTTTCTGCAATAAGATTGCTTTTCGAGACCATTTCAGGTTTTAGATTATGTAAAAACTGTATTCATTAATTAAACTTAACATTGAATAAAATTTTGCAACTTTAAATAATGATTTTTTAAGACAATATAACTCAGCTTAACAATGTTTATTCAGTTTGATTTAAAATCGAACTTTTACTAATGAATTATCAACAATGTAATGATAGTACTTAGAAGTTTTTTTAATTGCTTTTATTGTTTTTGATTAAATGATAGACATTTTTTGTCCAATATGTAGAAAATAACTTTAAAAAATAAGTAAATCTACATGCAAAGCAAAGTACATCCTGTACAATTTTTAGGTAAATCAAATAAAAATTAGACCAGTTAAGGAGTCCGTAATTAGCAAATGAAACGGAGAGTTATTGAAAGAGAAAAATATTTTATTCTTGAATTAATTTCTAATTATATTTCATGAATTTATCAATCTTCTAAGGCTGCATTGCATCGGAGGTCAAATGTACCCTTTTGCTAACTATGCCGTTGTTTGATACTTAAAAAATTTTGATTGCTAATTTTTTTCACTAATTTACATAATACTAAGAAAATTTTAATTTATCAAAAGTGCTCAGTTATTAATCAAGTGAGGTAGAATAAATTGGACATTAGACTTTAGCATGTGTTTAAGAATTTTATTTTACATAATATTTTTAATACTTCTCATTTTAAAAGAAAATTGATGGTTGACTGAATATAAACAATAACAAGCTCCTTAAAATTGGATCAAATATCGAAAACTTCTCGTGTATCCCTCCTTTTATGTTAAGTGTACGAGGCTTGATATTCTAGGAAGTTTTATAGTGATTTGTGCTTAAATTTACATGTAATTTTACCATTCATAAGTTTTCTATAATATATGAGTTCTGAAAGGTCTTTTGCCTTAAATAAGTTCAAGAAAATTAAAATACTAATAACATAAATAAAGCGCAAGGTTCGCTATGTTTTGAGTGTTATTCCTTATTTGGCTATAGTATTTGTGTGAAATATTGCCGTTTGTTATTTTTGTGTAGCATCACAGAATGCTCGTGGAATTGTTCAAATTCATTTTCTGAAACTAAATGGGTTAAGCTGAAGTAAAATTGAACACATTGTATTGTAAGCACGAAGTATAATAATTTTGGATGGCCTGATTTTTGGAAGTAGTAACCCAGAAGTCATAAGACAAATTTTAACACCTGTTCTTAGCTTCATATGGTTAACCATCTAAACAATTTATCATCCAAAAAAAAGTATTATAAATTTTAGGTCCTTTACTGAAGATCTTAACTTTATCTTCTTTTTATTTGAAAAAAAAAAAAACTTTTTATGTGGTTGTTTTTATAAGCGAGACTATAAAAGTAAATTTGTAATAAATTAAATTATTTTTTAGAATCTAGGTATAATTTATTTAATTTGTTAAAGCTATAAACAGATATTTTCTGAAAAAAAAATGTTATCTTAATTTTTTTAAATAATCAATTAGTAATTATAACTAGTTTATTAATAAATAAAAATGTATTTATTAGAAAACTAACATAATATGGCCGCTTAAAGACCTCAAGTCGTGTGTTTTTATTTAGAAATAAAAATGTTTGTCCTCAAATTTTCATGATTTTTCATGTGAATTTTATGAATCTATCCTTCCAGTAATTTGCCCTCGAAGAAACCCGTTTTATAACGATTTAGCGTTCTAAAAATTTGTCCTATTGATTTTCACCCGTTTTGATTATTAGATATTATTTACTCTCTATTACAACGTGCTTAAATATATTCCCTTTTCCAATCGATGTAATAGATCCAAACTCAGCGTTTTCGTCAAACTTGCTCAATTCATCTTATGATCCTTTATGGAATATTGAAAAACATAGCCTAAAATTTTATTGTTTAGTTGTGTTTCTATTTATGTACCTTGAAATTTCATGCAGTTTTTTTTCTCTTCCTTAACTGCTCTACTCTTGCTAAGTAATGTTTATATTTTGAGAATTACAGAAATCTTGTTTATTTTCAGTGATGACAACATTTTACAAGACAAACACTTGTCTTTATTTATTTATTTTTTTAAAGCATTTATGCATTACAGTAGACTGTGTTGCTTCTTCCAATGTCCTTAAGAAAGCATTGAAAAACATATTTATCTTCATCTTTTGAGCAAAATCTTTGAAGTTTAGATAATATCGACTTTATGCTTGCTGGAATCAAAATCTGATAATACTCAGGCGAATTTTTAACAAGGTGAATGATGAAGCTCAACTCCTGACTGGGAGCTGGTATGACATGGGCTTACAAAAACTATCACAGCGTTTACAAAGATGCTTTGACTTTTTTTTTTGTTGCGATTACGTAAGAAAATAGGCCATCATTCTTCAACCTTTAAAATAATACTAATAAAGGGGTTGCTCTTTAGGGACTGCTCTTATGCACGATTTTACTGCAGATTTTATCAATTGCAGAAAATAATAAATTGTTGATGAAATTCAAATAAATTTGATAACCCTTCAATCAAAAACAAATTTAAAAAATTATATCTTTTTTTTTTTTTTTTTAATATTTGTTTTGCGTGCGCAACCGAAACAATAAAATGAGTTATTGGTGTACTAGAAATTATTCCATCTCTGACCAAGCCTTTTCCTTTTGATAATTGACTCGATGATTCTAAAAGAATTGATAATGTTCCGTGATAATTATTATGAAACATTACTTCGTTTTTTTATTATCACTTATTTAATTTTCTTCTTTTGATGTAATTAATTCATTTCAAAACTGATGACCTTCGAGAATAAGATCTATTTTAGTCAAGGACCTGCAACAAATTGTAATTGAATACGTATAGGAATTATAAAGGATTTCGGATGATGAGGAATTAAAAATTTTCTATTTTATGAGATAAAAAGTAATGTACTGTAATGTCAAGCACCGTGATTTTTTCCATTCAAGTCATTTTTTTCTTTTGTTTTTGTTGTTTTCTTTGTTTATTCTCAGAAGAAAAATAATCTGATAACCCTCAGTGCTGCCGCGCTGGAGGATTTCTGCTACCGGGATCTATATATAAAATGGTGAAAACCACCTCGACTCTCTGATAGGCTGCTAGAGCGTGGAACCATCCGAGTCTAGTCCAACGATGAACGTTCATGTATCCATCTCTCGAGCCGAAAAGTTGCATTACAAATGCAGGGCATAGGGCCACCCACGGAGGCCAAAACCCCCGCAGGCGAGGAGAATCGCAGGGCAGCAAGCAGCAGAGTGCCACCACACTTTACTCAGGGGATCGGCCGTGGTAACTTCCTTTCTATGTAATCTATGTTAAAAAGGAAGCTAAAAAAGGTAACGTTAGGTCAGAAGTTAATATTTAAGCGAAGAAAAATTCTTCAGCAATTTTCATCGCTATGGATGGTTAGCTGTATTAAGCTAAGTGCAGATACCGCTAGAGGTTAAAATTCGCCGTAAGATTTCTGGGTTACTACTTCCGATTGATTTTTACCCACGAACCTGGAAAAGCGCACCATTCAATATCATTATACTTTCATTTTATTTTATAACCGTTGTTGAACAGCGGACCCAATTTTTGGGTTCTTCTAATGTTCAACTCTGCAGCCTTGTAATGTTTGTCTTACTTCAGAAGACAGGGGAACTCGTGGATCAAGTATTGGGAGAAATCTGCCTTATTCATGGTGGACTTTTTGAACTAACTAGCATTTGCATTACACTGAGAGGAAGACCATGAAAGCCTCCCACAGTTAACCCGACGGCAAGGGGACTCTAATCCATGATCCGTCAACCACAGATGATAATTTACGTCGGCACTGTGGTCGGTGTGAGCCGGGTGCAGAATTCGTATCAACATAGCTGGGATTCGAACCCGGTTCACTTCATTGGAAGGCGAATGTCCATCCCCTGAGCACTGTTCTCAGTATTACGCGTTCTTTCAATGTAACTTTGAATGAGACAAGTAATAAAATTTATTTAAAAGATCTGGCAAGCACTCTATGATACTACCCAAAAAATAACAATCGGTGATATTTTACACTATTATCAGGATAACACTCTAAATGTGGCAAACCTGACACTTTGTTAATGTTGTGATTAGCGATCGCAATGCTCAAATGCGTCATCTGGGGAGAAGATCGGTTCCACGATTTCGATCCTTTCACTCTCCTCTTCGATATTTCCCCTTTTCTTAATATTTTTCGTATTTCTTCTTCTTCTTCATAAGCGCAACAGCCTTTCACAGGCCAAGGCTGACTCGCAGATTTTCCTCTATCTGGCCCTGTCCGGTGCGACGGCCCGCCATCGGTTGACTCCCAATAGCTTGAGGTCCTTTTCAACGTGGTCTATCCATCTTGTAGGTGGTCGTCCCCTACGTCTCGTCCCTTCAATTGTGGAAAAAGTCACTTTTTTGGCAGGGACGGCATCAGAATTTCTGAAGAGGTGGCCCAGCCACCTAATGCGTGATGCTTTAATAGTTCTCACAAAGTCGGTCCCACCGAATTTGTCATATTTTTTGTAAATTTCGTGGTTGTAAAGAATTCTCCATACGTTATTCTCTTGAAGAGATCCAAAGATTTTCCTCAAAATTTTTCTTTCAAAAATTAGCAGTTTTTCCTCCTCTGTTTTGCTTAGGGTCCAGCACTCACTTCCATACGTAGCTATAGGCCTGATTAAAGTTTTGTAGATGTTTAACTTTGTCTTCACACTGATGAACTTGGATTTCAGTTGGTTTCTGAGGCCGTAGAAACTTCTGTTAGTCATGGAAATTCTGTTATTTATTTCGATTTTCAGGTTGTTGTGGCTAGAGATCAAGGTTCCTAGGTACTTGAACTGGTTAACAGTTTCAAAAGAGTAAGTCATTATCTCCAGAGGAGATCGATTTTTCGTATTTAATTATTAAAAATATTTTTTTTTAATTTTCATGACGCTTTCTGTTAGAGCTACGTTTAATAAATATTTCAGTTTCCTAACCTAAAAGATATTTATCTATTTGAAAAATCAAGAAATAAATTAACGTACTTCCTTCTTCTATGACTCTTCATACTCAAATGGTAAAAGCATGCGAAGTGTTACCATGGGTAGAGAGCTCTGCTCTACACCACCTGTAGCCCATGTCGGTCGTCAATATTAATCCCACATAAGCAGAGCGATACACCGGAAGTTTTCAAAATTTCTTTCGAGTCAGTCAACATTTCCGTAATGACCGATTAAATGTCAAAGTGGCCGGATAAGGCTATTGGTCAAAAACCACGCAGACGGAAATGGAATGTGTTGGATTTGAATTGGCTTGATTTGGCGACAGTTTTAAGACTTTGGTTTCTGAAGTGCTTTGTTTACATGTTATATCAGTGTTTCTTGTTATTATTTATGATTAATTATGAATCAGGTGATTTGCAAACATTGCAAAAAAATATTTAAACAAAATAAAAATCTGTATGAGCATATTAGGAACGTTCATAAAGCAAATGTAACAACTGGAAGTTTGAAATGTCCCATGAATGATTGTGAAGTGTGTTTGAAAACTCGTATGTTATTAAGAGACCATTTATCAAATTTTCATAACCTCAAACATGTGGAAGAAAAAGAGGAGCATCAATTTGATTCTTTCACTAGTAAGTTTGTAAGTCGTATAATATTTCATTATACGTCTTGTTGCTATTGTTATATGTTCTGTAGCAATTGTTATTGTTTATATTACATTGCGAAAACAGTGATTTTAATTTGTAGAATGTATAATATTGCAGTAGTATTCGGATAAACTGTGTAGGTTAAGTTATGTTTTTATTGTGACCAGGTTTCTTACAATGGAAAGAGGCAATTGAAGCTCAACTCAAGTCATCTTACTGTTCCAGTGCCTCAGTTACACTGGCAAATGGCAGCAAAAAACGTTACTTTTTGTGTAATCGTTCTGGCATCTTCATATCAAAAGCTTCTGGGTCTAGAGCATCAAAATCGCAAGGAACCTGTAGAAGCGGTAATTTCTGCCCATCAACAATTGAAGTCATAGAGAATGATAAAATCTATGTCACTTTTTATAAAGCTCATGTTGGGCACGAAAATGAACTGAAATATCTTCCTTTGAGTTTGAGAACATCAGTGAAGAGTGAATTAGCAAGTGCGTGTTACTCATGTTCATTATCTTATTTTACAATAAAAATAATTTTATTTGAAAAGCATAATTTTAAATGTATATTTAAGAAGTTCGTATTTGCATATAACATTAATTTATAAACATATTTATTGAATGTAACTAGATGTAAAATGAATTACTAGCTATCATCTTATTTAACTGTTTAATATTTTATTGCCTAATAAATGTTTGTTTTTACTAGAAGCATTAAAGGTAATATGTGTGTAAAGTTTTAAACAAAGAATGAGTAATTTTTATAACTTGCATTGCATTCATAAAAAACAGTATATAATACATATGTTAGTATAAAATTTAGAAAAAACTGTTAACAATTTACAATTGTCCCCGTTGCAGAATCACAGTGACATTGTCGCATAACGTTACAAAGTTCTTGCAGAAAGATTTTTCTGTTAGAAGGCATAGGTAATATTCAAATCTGTATTCCCGGCAGTTATTGATATTGATTTTCACGATTAAATATTCCGATATATTTCAAACAATATGAAAAATTCGAATAATGCATTTCAGTATTTACTTGTTGAAGCAATAATTCTATCAAATTTTTGGCAATTACTGCTATTGATTTCTCTATAGTTATTAAATACGATATTTTTTATACAATATTATTTATTACGACAACCTAATCTCGAAACACGCATTTGAAGACTCCGATTCACGTGATTTCTTTATCGATCTCTTTTTTGGCAATTACGATTTTTAAGATTTTTAATTGTTTTTTTTATTGTGACGATTATTTACAAAATACAAAGAGGGAAATAATTTGTGTGTTCCCTCCAAACAAAATGCAAGAATATCACCCAAAATATTAGAATAAAAAATTCTTACATGTTCAACTATAAAAATATTTTATAGTTTTTATTTGTAAACACAGCTTTTTTGTTATTTTAAATTAGTAATATATATGTTTGTTATTATTAAAAGCATCTTGCAGAATGATATTAGTGCTAGAGAGTTTTGTTGCAGATAGCTCGAAAAAATTCTGTCATTGGTTAAACTTTTTTTTTCTTCACTTTTGTTTCTTCTCTTTCATGCCTGGCTTGTTTTCAAAATGGACGTCTGTTATTTAGCACTTAAACTATTGGTATTGTTATTTCAATTTGTGTATTTTTAAGAGTAGATGAAGCTTTTAGTCAAGTAATACAATAAATGTTAAAGCACCATAGTGTGAAATAGCACGTATATTTCTATTGTTTTGATATTCCTTTCAAAAAATTTTAAATATATTATTATGTTGTCATAAGCATTTGAATGTAAGTAGTATTTATTTTTATACATAGAAGCATGGATGTTTTCAACAAAATTTCAAATTTGGAAAAAAAGAAGCCAAAAACAGGGGAGGAACTATAATATTTTTAGTGATTACCTACATTTTTCAAATTCTTGCAACCGTGCCTATGACTATCCATACGTTAATGATGAAAGCATTAAAAGTGTTGCTATGTGTCACGTGTACCCCATTTCGATTCCCAATATGAAGCATTTTATTTTATTGAGTGAAAGTTTATTTTTTTTTAAAAAAAATATCTATTTATATTTATAGCTAAAATAATAAAAATGAAAAAATTGAAAAAAATATTCTGTCATTTTTTATCTAACATCTAATGAATTGTAAAAAAGCTAAAAAAGCTCTTAATTATAACAAAATTCAATAATTTATAACATTCAATGATTTTAAGTAACAGTAAATATTGCTTAGATTTGGTTATACAGTACAGAACCCGTTATCCGGAAATCAGAAAACCGGAAAACCAAAAAACCGGAACGAAATTAGATAAATTTTCCTGCCATTTTTAAAAAAAAAATTTTTTTTCCTCATAAGATTTTAGGTTTTTCTTTTCTTTTTTGAAAGATGTTTACCTTACCATCATTTTGGAAATAATCATTAGTGTATTACTTCATCGTTTTTTCTTCTTTTTAAGATTATTTCCAAAAAATTTTTTTTGTTGTTGGGTTTAACAATTAAAAAAACGGCTTTTGGTAGCTATTCAGAAAACCGGAAAAATCAGTTTTCCGGAATAGCGATGGTCCCGATCGTTCCGGATAATCGGTTCCCTACTGTATTGCTCTATTTTTTGCATGTAGTTTTCATTAAGTTTGTCAAATAAGGTAACTAAAATATCTGAACTAAAAAACCAATCTGACCAAATCAGTAAAAAAAAAAATTCCAGCCAAACCAGAAAAAATTAAAATTATAGTTTATAAAGTTACATATTCAGCGTAATAAAATTAAATAAAAAGTACCTCTTTGGACATAGATAGAAAACCAGTAGTGTAGTTTAAAACAATCATAATGTGAACTTTAAATGATATACATTTAATAGTATTAAATTCTCGAATAAATTTCTGCTTGACTAAGAAATTAAAGAAAAATTATGTTTCTGGTAAAATAATGATAATTATATTACAACTGTTGTTATGAATCAGTAATTTAAATCAAATTATTTCTTAAAACGTTAATTTAAAAATAAGTAAAGTATTTTATTGTGTGATTATTTAAATTTCTTTTATTGATTTTTATAATTTTAAATTATATGTTAGCCTACAAGCCTATAGTTTATTGTTAGTCTATTTTTTGAGTTGTTCAGAATAAAATACTTCTATTTCATTTTTATTAAATTCAAATTGTAGATTTCTATTATGTTTTACTTCAAAAATAATTTTTATATATTACCCTAGTTTAAAACTATCTTTTGAAGAAGTTAAAATCCAAATTTTAAAAAAAATCATGAAAACTTATCAAACGTATAATGCTTTAAGTTTTTTAAAGCAGTATTTTAAATAATACTGGCTCATTCTGAGTGAAGTGAACCAAGGGCCCTTTTCATTGCGTCTCAAAATTTAAAAAAAATTTTTGTGGAATTTTGTAACTTCTACTTGAATTTCAATTAATACTTAATTTATTTCTGTATAATTTTTTAAATAATTGTATAAATATTTATAGCATTTTACATAGTTTTTACTTTTTTTTTTAATGACACCAAAATTAAGAAAATTGGCTCTAAGTAAGAAAGGTATAGACATTTTTATCATATAAACCACCATCTTATTTACCGTATTATGCTATTTCCTTAAATTGATTTAAATTTAAAAATACTTTCCTAATCATATTTTCTGCCCAAAAATTCTGAAAAAATTAATTTTTGTCATTTTTTATCGAGAACTTTTCTAAATACATTTTCATGAAAATCTGTGACACGACGCCAATGAATTTTTTATTTATTTTGGGGGATTTTACTTGAAATTAGCCTACTTTATTTTAGATTAAATACCAATTCTATTACTCTTTACTGTGATTGTACGTTCAATTTTGGAGTCGGTTTTACTATTCCCTCTTTTATCTTTGTTTTCTTAGCATATTTAAAAAAGCCTTAGTAATTAGTTAGTAGTTTATTCATTAAAAATATTATGAAATGATCAACTATTATTTTGTATTATTAAGAAATGAAGCTAATTTGTGTTTCCTTTTTAAATATAGTAAAGATTTCAGATGCAATTTCTTTGAAGCAGTGTTCAAATGACGTCAGAAACTCCTTGCCTGATAATTTTGAAAGAATAAATTTGCTTACTAAACAAGATCAGCAGAATATTGGTAATACCAAGGTCTACATTGCAAATTCTCACATTGTTAAAAAAGAAAAAAATGAATGTGATTGTGAATTGTTTTTTAATACTTGTAAAATCTGTATACATTGTTATTCCTGTACATGCAGTGATTTTACTGTTAGAGCAAATTTGTGTAAGCATATACATGCTGTAGGCATATATTTTAAAAATGCCCAAAAATCTTTACAAGAAAGAGAAAGTGTTGTTATTAATGAATTTATGGAAAGTGCTAGTTTTATTAGCCCAGTAAATTTAGATAATTTGAATAATGATGATGACAATAGTCAACTTAAATCAAAACTCTCTCATGCATTAAGGTTGTTAGATAATGTGACTTTAAATGATGAAACAAAAAAACTGTTGAACAAACATCTTGACGCAATTATTAGTTTAATAGAAAATGATGATGAAAAAGTGGATACAACAGTCAGCTATGAACCTGTAAATAAAAAAATTAAGCTTTAACTAAGATTTTGCTCAACTAAGAAGAAATTATTAAATAGTAGTTAATCTATTTTTAAACATAATAACAATTAAAAAGTATCCTTAACTGAATCAGTTTTGAATAATGCGTTAGTTAATTCATTCATACTAATTAATATTCATTCATACTGCAGCTGTAATGTTCAAAACTAAAGTGTAATATATTCTATGTAATATATAATATATTCAATGTAATGTGTAATATATTCAATGTAAATGTAATGTAGTATTCAGAAATCAAATTTAATATTTTCTGAAGAACTTTTTGAGAGCTTTTTGACTTGACTTTCTAGGTAGTAATATCAACCTCTTTCATTTCTTCTTTTGAAAAATGTATTTTCTACAACTCTATTTTGATAGAATTTTTTTCTGAATGAAGGGAATTAAGCATGCGATAACCATTAAAACTTCAGTAGATCTAGGTACCTGATGGAACTAGCATTGTCGAGAAGTTTATTAGAAAATCGGAAGAGTTAGCTGAGGTGTGTTCCTGGTTGTGAAATAGTTTACTATTTTCAATAATTATAATCTTTCATCATAAATGTTGTACAAAGGTGTAAATAAAAGCTTTTTTTTTGTTACAATTTGTTTTCTTTAAAAGGGTTGCACAACATAATTTGCTAGTATGTGTAATTATTTGAATAACTGGATAATGTTTATAACACTGATAAACAAGCTATAGATATCTAGCATGGTGTTTCCCTTTTCTAAAGTAATTATGCTGATTACAAATCTGAAAACCACTTTGCTCTATCATGTCAGGTTCTTGCAGAAAAAATGATTTTTATAGAACACTGTTTAACTGATTGTAAATTTTACGGAATGCTATTTCAATTTTATTGATTTTAAATGAATACTGTTTAAATTTTATTATTTTAGTGGAATTTAATTGTATACAACAACTACACAATTTTGCCACAGACACTTAGAGTTAGTGAATTTTTTTGTAATGAGTGATATTTTATGCTAGAGCCATAGGAAAAGTTGGAAAAGAGCACTACTTCAATTAAGTATAGGAATTTACTGACTGATTTGATTCAGGATGTTTAACATGAATTCAATACAATTAAATATCTATTCAAATGTAGATAAATATTTTATAAAAACTGATTAATATGTAAAGTTTAATGTGAAGCCTGTGGAAACCAACTTTTAGTGTATGTTCTGATTTTTCTTTGTTGAACAGAATACAGTCGATAAAAAGTTAATTAACAATTGTTTCTCATGAGGTTAATTTTGTGACAAGTTAAAAATTTTGACAAAAATTATTAAATGCTTCATTTTAATACATTTTAATAAAAAAAAAACCTTTGATAAAGCATTGTCTCAACGCAATTTGTATAATTATTGGGATTCGGAAAAATTATGGAGCTGTTTAAGAGTCCTAAAAATTTTGTTAAATATCATGAAGTGTATACATGGACTTTAAATTAGTCCTTCAACTTTAGCTAATATTTTAAAGCTAGATCTAACTTTATTCGAATACAGATTTAACTGCTGTAAATTCGGGCTTAATTCGCCCAATGGCCCAAAATTAAATAGGACATTAATTCAAACAGTTAAGGTGATTTTTTTTCCCTTAAGCTTATTTTTTTTTATATGATTTTTTTTTATTTTTACTCTCTAGAGCTTATTTTTAGTGTTCTTTTTTTCTTTTGATACTTTTTTTTTGTTATCTTTTTGGGATGTTAAAGATGTGAAGATACAACACTGAAGTATACAATAAATTAAAGATGTATTTTCAGTGTGAATGAAGTTTATGTGTGCTGTATTTTGAACTTGATACTTTCTATACACACTAAAGTGTGTATAGAAATGAGCTCGAAGTGACTTAATCTGACTGTTTTCTTATCTAATGATGTGTTCATGAGTACTCAATGTAACAGTAAATGGCTCTAATAAAATATAAACGGGTGAAGACATATATCTAAAAAAATTTGGTAAAGAAATGTTTTGCATGTTTTGAATCAGCGCAATTTAATTGTCTTAGAAATTGCAATGGATTTTAAGATGTATCCGCAACTTTTAATCCCCTCCGCAGAGGATCAAAATTGTGAAGGCATGTCTTCGGATCATCCTCCGGGATGTTTCCCAGACCGTCGCCAATAGCCCATTGTGCAGCTCTAGTGCGACGTATATTAACAACAATAACAAAGCAACTTTTAAAAATGGGTTTATCAGTGCAATTTATCGTATTTTTTTTAAAAGTAGTAACATTAAAAAAATTTTTTTAATTTGGGAAACCTAAAAAAAATTCTACAATTTCAGTCATTAACATCTCATGAATTTTTTTTTCAATATACTAGGTAGTCTTTCTTCAGTTTAAACAAAATTTTCAAAGATTTCTTGGTTTTCTAGAGTGAAATTCAAACAGTTCAATGTACTTTATCAGAATCTAAGTTACAATTAAAAATTATTTAGATTAAGGATATTAAATAATTTATAGTGGATTTAGGCACTTTAAAAGTATTACATATGTTAATAAAAATTATAAATTTTACTAAACATTTTGCAATTAAAAAAGTAAGCTTTTAATTTCCTTTTTTATATCTATTTGATTATAACTACACTAGTCTCAAGATATATAACTACATAAATTTTCAAATGCGTTTATTAGCCTAATATTTTAAAAACTTAAATAAATGGCTGCTCAATAGAAAACAATAATGCAGTTTACTGAATTTTAAAAGAGCCACTGATGGCAAAAAAAAAAAAAAGTATTACTATGGTTAAGTTTTTACAAGCCACGATAGGTAATTAATACAAATACTGCGATTGTAGACAGTATTTTGTATTATTTATGTTGCAAATGTTCGTGATGTATAAGGCATGCGACCAAACATATATGTATTTTAAATAATTAAAATTGTGAAAAATAATAAAGATAGTATTCACATTTCTCACAATTTTGTGGTAATCTCTATTAGAATCATATAGTCATGGATATTAAATTCAATACTGATATTACGTCATGGGCATCACGGGGGTCCGATTCTTGAGGACGAAGTTAAAATACTTAGTTACAATAGTCCTCTTGCATAAGAAGAAAAAAAATCTTATACGTGTAAAAACATCAATTATTTTTTTTCTTTCTTGTTTTTAACTTTGATGAATTTAAATCAATTCGTTCATGAATACTGTCTGAAATATTGAAGTGGACATACACCTATCTTCCCGCCAACGACGGCTTTACATAAATATTTCCTAGAAAGTAATAAAGTGAGAAACGAAATCTGTCGCCAAAGTCATGCATCTCCCTACCTACATGTAATGTTATTTTTGCCCAATAACGTGATCCGGTCATTTTGAAATTCCATCGCTCGTGTAGCACGAGGGATGAAATAGCCTTTCAATTCCTATCTCCTTCATAAACGAGTGTTGATGTTTTCAGTGCCGCTTTCTTCAAGAGTGATTTTTCTAGTTTTGATAGCCTTTATGTTTCCCCCCTTTTGACATATTTCATTTATGCCTCTGCATATGTGTACTCTTTACTCATTTTTGATAATGATTCTAAAAATCTATAATAAAGGTAAGCATTATGGAACATTTGGTAGGGGCAATGACCTCAAGAATTTTGACTTCATAAATTCATCTACCTCGTTCTCTTTACCAGTTAACTAATTTCTCGTTATAGTAAATATTCTTCATAGTATTTCACGACATCATTATTCAATCAGTTTAAACATTTAATAATGTTATAACGTTCTAGATATAAAGTGTATTTCGTTCTCTTTTTCTTTCTTTCTTTTTTTTTTCAAGAACCCCTTTCATATCTATGGCCCCTCAAACCCCTACCTTACGGCACCCCTTTTTTCCCTCCTAAATGGGCGTTTTCCTTCGAAATAGCAACCCTCTTGACCTCTTCTATTTCTGACATAATAGTCACATAATCTAAACATTGTCAGCAAGTCACTTTGATCAGTATATTAACTTAAATAACAGAGCGCTCTGAACCAGAAACCTTCATAAAACCATCTTTCAAAATAGGGGACCATCTTTCTTTTCAGATGATTTCTTTTCTCTTGGAGGCCATTTATAGAAAAACTAAAAATTTTCTATAATTGTTAAGTTAAAAAGTGTCGTTTTCGGTTTCGTGAGAAAAAAAAGAAGAAAGGAAACTTTGTTATTTTTTATATTTTTTACCTTTTAAAGATTTACTTGAAGTGAGCTATTCCATTATAAAACGGATTTAAGAAAAGAAAAGAAATTTAAAATTTACTTTTTACTATTTTATTCTCCATACTTTGTGCTTACTTTTAATTTAACTCAATGGAATAATTTTTACATTTAAAAAAAATATAAAAATATTTTATTTGTTATGCAATTAATATAGTTTAGGGAATTAGTCCAATTTTTTCCTGTAACGATGCACAGGCATTTGTTCTAATTTAATGTAATTGTGATCGTAACTGTAAAAGCACTTCATTTATGATATTAGTGAACGAATGAGAGTGAATATACATACATAATGAATGAATATATACAGCATCATTCATACATATATAATGAGAGTAAATGAGTGTATTTCTATATTAATAAAATAAAGAGTTAGTTTGTGTTTCTCTTATAGCTCCAGAATTGTCTGTGCATGATTGCGAATTGTTGATTAATAAATATTTATTGATTATTTACTTTTTTTAGGAAGAACAAGTATAGTATAAGGATACACGGCTCCGTTCACCAACCCATGCGATTGTTTCTCATTTTTCATAGTTCCCCCCCCCCCCTTAAAAACCAATATTTTCCAAAATATGCAATTATTACAATTTTATATCAAAATATTTTTTTAATATATTATTTGTATTACATATTGACAAAATATCATAACCCTCATTTGAAAAATAATCATCTGTACTCAGATAAAAATAAATAAAAGCTATTAAAATAATAACTGTGAAGCAGAAAAAAAAATTTTTTTTTTCTTCTAGAATAAATAAATAATCAAAATAAAAAGTTAAAACATAAAAAAATTCTTGGCAAACGCATTTAAAATTTCAATAAATTTCAAGATTAAGTTTCATTTATATAATTGTTTGACACAATAAATAAATAAATCGATAAAAACTCGTGTTAAAATGATAAACAAATATGGCCCTTTTGTCATGTCAAATTTCAGCTCTGTAATTGCATTTCTGTGATCTGTAGAGCTGCCTGCAAGGCATTTTTTACTACTCGCTTAACTTTTAATAATTAACTTAATTATCGAAAGGTAAGTTTTTTTCCATTGTACTCCCTGTTTATTTTTTTCTTACTTTCGAAATTTTATGTGTTTGCGCAGCAAAATTAAATGTAACGTAAAGTTAAGCATCCAAATAGTAGCGTCTATTGCGCTTCCGAATTTTGAATATAAAAAGACAGTAAAGGAAAAATTTGGTGAATCAGAAACTTTATAAAGAGAAAGCAAATCATTTTCCGATAAATTTTATTAAAAAAATACTTAAATTAAAAGTATTTTTGAAATTAATTTCTTTTTCTTTCTCCTTCTTTTTCTCTTTATCCTTTTCTTTCTGCAATTTGGTCACCAGCGATGAGGTTAACAGCAAGTAATTATGTTTCTGTATAGAATCTAAGTGCCCATCTTAAACTTGCAATGTTAGTAAAAAAAAGTAACAAAGTCTTGAGGTTGAGGTTAAAATTATTTAATAAACATAAATAGATTACACAACATTTTTATGAAGTTTTAAAAAAAAAAGTCATGAGCAGCCATTTTACATACATCGTAGGAATTCCATTTGCACACAAAAATAAATAACATACGTTTAACACAATATTTGCACCTTAACACTCTATGATGACATAATACTTAAGAATGTTTACAAAGAGAAACGTAGGAACATTTATCAGATCTTTAGTATTTTAAAAATAATGAATAGTTTATAAATACATAAACGAACACAAAAATAAAATTTTTTCAATGAGTAATGGAATTGTGCTTTTTTTCATACAATACAAACACGTAAAAGTGAACGCCGCAAAATTTACTAAATATTCCATAAACATCGAAACAATTGACTACACCAATCTCTTTAAGCATTTTGCTTGCTTTTTGAATTGAGAAAATTGAATTTTCTAAATTAGAGAATATAGGTACAAATAGCAGTAAATACTGACGTATTCTTCTTAATAATTTTTTATTCGAAATGTTTCATTACTTATCCATTGTGTTTTAAGAATAAATTTAAACAACTTCACAAAATTATCTAAATCAAGTGGTATTCACTTATTTTTCTCTGATCAACGCCTGAATTGACAATAATGATTATCGAATTTTTCATCTTAAAAAGATTAATAAATAAGATTTAGTTACCAAATGAAATTGTGCGCAATATTTTAATTATGAAAGTTGTTACATTTTAATTTGGAAGAATGAAGTCGATTGATTGACAACAAGGTTTTGAAAAGGCGCCAAATCGAGTTTAACTAATGATGTTAAGAAAGTTCAGAAATTTTTTTTTAACCTTGGATAATTTTTTACGATTTTATTTCCTGCAAAAAAAAAGAAAAAACGTTTTTATATTCATTTTTATTTTTTTTTATTTTGTCACATCTTCAAAATTGAAATTTAAAATTAAAGTTCATTCTTCCAGTCCTGGCAATAGTAAAAGCTATAACATTAACTTTTTCCGTTAAAAAAACTAGTAATCAGCTTAGTACTAAATATTAAGGATGTCAATTTAAAAAATGTGTTTCATGTTTCTAAAACTTCAAAAGATAATTTTACAGTCCTGAATATAAAGTAAGATTTTGAATTTAAAATTTTCGGGTTATACTTCTTCGGTGCCATGTAACGCGAAAAAAAAAGAATCTTTGATGCTATGAAAAGGAAATTTGATTAGCTTCTAAACGAAATACTTATCACTCATCAATAGGGTTTTATTATCGATTATGTTTTCGGGTACGAAAAGTTGCGGCATATTTCTCGTCATTGCAGCGTTCACTTCTTTTGCAAGGATTCACACAATTGACTAGATTTACAATAAACGCTATTGAGCGTCTTAATTTGCCTAAACACAACAAGACTTTATCAAAATTCCTCTTCTGAGCCAAGAGTTCTATCATAAAAATAATCATCTGGAACTCGCGCTCGTATTTCACAAGTACACGCACTACGTATTCTAATGTAATCCATTCGCCAAGGTAAATCAGAATTGAATTCTCGCACTAATGCATAAGTGTACGTGTATCTCTGAACACACATGGAGTGCACATGATGGTTATGCTGCACATACTTGCATGCTTTACCTTTAACGCCTTCTTTACAGGATGTTTGGTAAAAACTTTGCGTCGAATTTTGACCTCGGTACAACTCCAGAAATCGTCCATTTTTAGCAACTCCGCCAAGTGGTTGGAATATTTCTGTGACAGATGGGCAGCATTCATCTGGAATTGTATTGTAAAATTGTTCTCGCTTCTTAAGTGCCGTGTCCCAAGCGAATTCTCTATAAAAATATTATAAATCTTAGTCAAATAATGGATAGATACAATAGGGGGTCACGAATCAATATTTAAGCAAAAAAAAAAGAAAAAAAATTTTTAGAACCTGACGAATCATTAACGGGAAAGGCGAGGTTAAAAGCCTTTCCATTCGTCGGGCTATGAAACTGGCTTATATGTTCTTTATCTCACCTACTTTAATAATGATTCTTCAGATTTTAAGAATAATTTTGTTTTCTTCAAAGTTCGAATTTTATTTCGTCATCTCCAAAGTACAGTGCTCAAAAAAATAAATAAATAAATAAATAAAAAATAAAAAAATAAAAAATAAATAAATAAAAAAAAAATAAACGAATTACCCTGAATAACTTTTGATCTTAATGATCAAATTTTCATTAAAATATGCTAATTAGTTATTGCAGACTCGAATTCAGACATAAAAACTTACTTTTTCTAAATAAACATAACTTTTTTCTTCGACGAATTCCTGACCTCCAAAACATAGGAGGTTAGCCGCAATCTGGAAAATATTGTCTCAATCGTTTGGTCCGGAGAGCGGTCGAACGCTTTGAACCCCTTTAATATTAGTTTTACTTTTTTAGAATTTCGCCATATTTAAGGAACTTTTTAAGCGAATTGAAAAATTTATGCATGCAATTGTAAAGTTTGTTTATTTAAAGACAATTCCACACACACATAATAATTGCTAATAATTATTTATTGTTTTTTATTATTTTATTTAATAATAGTAAAAAAAAAATTTTAATGTAAGGTGTATAAATTTTTACATTACTCTAAAGAATGTAAATTTTGTATGAGAAAATACAAAATTTTAATGAAATCGGTCAAATAGTTCCTGAGAAATAGGATTATAAAAAAGTCAGATATTTTTAATTCGATTTTTCAGGTCTAATTATTATTCGACTAATTTTGTAGATATTTTTGAAACTTTAGTTTTTGCTAAGGATTATAAAACTATGAATTAAGAGCTATAATTACGGAACAACCTAATAATTATAATTATGTGTTTTTAATAGTATTATTATTTAAGCCTTTTAACTAATTCTAAGATAATGAAGAGAAAAGGCAAAAGAGAAAACTAAATGACTTTGTTTATCTTCTGAACTTTTTAGGATGGCGAACATAAACCATCAAAACTATATATTCATTTCATTACAAATATGACTTATTTTTGAAATTGCAACATAAATTCGCCCTTGCAATAAGACATTCTATTATGTGAAATTTAAATAAATTCAATACAAAATTAAGAAATGGGAAGGCTCTTCAGAAATAATAGCATGAGATAAGATAAAACAACAATATTCTAATAAAAGAATGTTCTTAAAGATGTGATAAAAGAAAAAACCCACTAACATGCATTACATGATCAAAACAAAATACAGTTATATTCAAAATCTTGATTTTCTAGAAGTTATGGTCGTTCGGGAAGTTGTGATCCGCTGCACAAATTGAGTGACACGAACTAAAGAAAGCTATTTTATGAACCAAAGAATTATTCTGAGATAAAAAATAAGTGAATAAAACTGAAATGCAGAAATGGTACTGTATTTTGATTTAAGTAATTTCGATATAAATACTTTTATAGATCAGTGTTTAAATGCTTAGGGGAAAAAAATGAATTGTTTAATTTTCTTCAGTAAGAAGTTTAAAAATTTCAGCTTTTAACTTTTATGTTGAAATAAAATATGTTATTCTTAATAAGCATCTGCGTTATGAAAAACTATGGCAATGTATATTTTTCTCATAAATTGTGCAAAATTAAATGTTAATCATAATTTCAACTCATCTTTTATCGAAATTGTGAACGTAGAGTCGGTATAACAGTAAAATTTCATACAGCCACTTAAAGCAAAATTATTAAATGAAATTATCGTCATAAAATAAGCGCAATTGTATTACATGAAAAAAAGCAAGCACCTAATGAAAAAGGGTAGGTACCAGACTGAAAACAGCAAGTACCAAACAAACAAAAAAGAGCTAGTATCAAACAGAAAAGAGCTAGTATCAAACAGAAAAGAGCAGGTATCGAGCGAAAGAGTGTAGATACCATTTAAAAAAAAAAAAAATAGCAGATACAACACTTAAGTTAAAAGATGTGCAACTTATGTAATATTTTTCAAAATATACTCACGTATTGTGCCTATGTTTTTTGTGTCCTGACTTCCATGCATTTCCACGGGCGTTTAGAGATTTGGAGTAGACACAAGCTATCAGCGGTAGAAGCTGGCATAATAAAAAATAAAAAAATACAAACGTGAATATCATTTTTATGCTCAACGCACAAATAATTCAGACAAAAAAAAAATTATAATGAAGAAGGAAAAAAAAAACATTCTGTGTCAATCAATTTCAATTACATTGAAAATTATATATCAATTTCAATTATTATATCAATTTCAATTATATTGAAAATAAACATCAATTTCAATTATTATATCAATTTTCAATTATATTGAAAATTAAATATCAATTTCAGTTATTATATCAATCTCAATTATATAATTTCAGTTATAAGAATAATTTTCTACTTCAATCATTTATAATTTAAACATTATAATATGATATTTGATTTTATTTTGTTTTGTAAATTTTTTTAAAACAAGTGTTTTATAATTTTTAGGTGCTAGCAATTCGAGAAGAATAATACGGCCGAAATCGTATTGTCACGTAGTTGTGCATTAAAATTATTAAATTTGGTTTAGTATTACGCTGAATCAATTTTCGTATCTGATTCAATTGGATAGTTGCAAATCATTCGAACATGATTCATGGCATAAGCAAGTGCCACGATTTACTCACACATGACTTTGTTTGCAGGTATCTGTTTATGCCACGAATCAGCAGCCAATCAGGTTCAATACATATATGTGACGATGTTTGCAGGTATTCAATTAAATCTTAAATCTTATGATTAAGCTTGATAATAAATCAAGCCTGATAGTTGTAACATTAACAAACCCAGTCACGTGATTAGGCCCTACCACGTGATTCTTCTTCTCAAGTTTGCAAGTAACATTGTTAATTTGAAAACGATTTTTTTAAAAGAATAATAGCTTTTTATTACCTGTTTAGACAGAAAACGATTTGTTTATTAATAATAGAATGAAGTAAATAATTATCATATAGAACACAAGTATGTAGTTTGTGCTTGAGACTATTGTTTAATTCTAAGTACATTTTGATTATCATCAACTTTAACCTCTTCCACTTTTAGATTATTTAAAAATAAACTTTTCGTGGTCAGAAATGAGTAAGTCTAAAAAGTTTTTTTTTCCAATCTGAAAGACATGCTTAACAATAACATCCAGTAATGTCTGCTGTTAAATTGCTAAAAGTGTTTATGATAGAACATTTAAGGTTAAAGTTTTGATTTGAAGCATATGATTTTTCGACGTTTTTAAAACTCTTCTCATATCAGTTGTTTTAATCAAATAATTAATATAGTTCGATTGGAAGTTTGATTTAATGAAAAGCGATTTTCAAAACGCTTTTTACAATAACTTCTTGAAACAAATTATTAATATGTTCTAATATTATTTAGGAAAGCCATTAATATAAAATTAAATTCTTATCTAATGGATATTCTGTGAAAACAAAAGTAAAATTATGCATAGTCGTAAATTAGTTGAGAAAGAAATGTGTCAATATGGAAAAAAGACCCATATTCTAAATAAACAATAATCAGCAAAGAAGAGGGTATACTTTGAGCTACGTAGACTAAAGCAAAAAACTACGTACGTGAATAAAACACAAATGAAAGTTCATAAATGGATATACTATAGTTTCAGTTCTATAAAAAACAACCTTACTCCGTGTCTAAACTTCAAATGAATGATTATTTCATTTGACATTTAGACACTGAGGAAGGTTCTTCTTATAGAGCTAAAACTACAGTCCGTCCATTTATGTACTCTCATTAATGCTTTATTCATATTATGTTTTGCTTTAAACAATAATCAGCACTATAATTTGTAAGTGTATTAAGAATGACGCAATAGAATAATGCAGTAATTTTACATACATAATAGAGTATATATATATATAATTAACGGGNAGATTCCTTATATATATATATATATATAAATAGAATAATGCAAACAGAATAATACAAATAGAAGAATTTTCAAACTTATAGCAACATTTGAGGTTTCTTCGAAATGAAGATTTTTTTTAAAACATGAGTATTTTAAATAAAAAATTCCTTAAACTGAATAATAGTATGTAGAAATGATGTACGGTACTGAATAAATTTTTCTTATCTTTCAGAATTCTCTAATATGAAATTGTTTTCTTTCGGTATAAAGAAATAACTAGAATTCCGTTATATTTCAACGTTTTATTATCATTTCCCTGTTTTGACCACTTTAGAATTTTGTTGAATCTCCCAGGCATTTGTGATCAAGATTAAGTCTTTGATTCGACGAGGTGTTGGTTCAATACTTTTTTATTCATGCAGTAATTGTGTTATATTTAAACATAAAATTATCGCGAGGAAAAATGCTCTATGATTATTTACTATTATTTTCCACATTACACTACAGAATTATGATCAAAATTCTTTCTCAAGTAACTTACCGGATTAACTGGAAATTTTGTTTAAACATATTCATTAACTCTGTAAATAATTAATGACTTATAAAAGTATTATTCCTAGCAAATGTCATTAAAATTTAGAATAAGAGAAAACAATAAAGTAATTATAATTTGAACAGAATCGACAATTCAATACTTACCAACAAAATAACCGGGCAAATAATCAATAAGATTTTCATTATTTATTAAACTTTTTTAAAAAAGCTATTATCTCTTCAAAGCTAAATCAAGTTATCTTTAAGTCGAATATATCTCGATAAAACAGAGAAGGAACTTATTACCTGCTCATTTATGATCTTTGTTTATATACTAGGTGTCCTGAGTATGCGATAAAGAAGAAAAACTACTATGATTGTGCATCCACTACTGCAATCTCTAGAAGTGTCTATCAAAGGGTAATCCCCACACCTTTGTGCCACAGTTGTTAAAGTGAAATTCCCCTCACTCAAATCAAAAATTTTGACAGAAGCTAACTGTTTGACTTAAAGCAATCGGTAAAATGTTGATGATTGCATACTATTAGAGCCGCTTAAGAAAATAATAAATAAAGAAACAAAGAAAGAAAAAAATTAGAATTCCCCAATGTAGATTAAAGTCTGAACAAAAAAAAAAAAAAAAAAAAAAAAAANACGGAAACTTATTGTTAGAAAGGGTTTTATTTTATTACAATTGCTATTTTATTGTTTGTAGAAATAACACCGTTGTAAATCTTTTTTTCAAACAGCAGTTCGGAGATTTTAATTTGCAAAAAAAAACAAAAACAATTACAAATAAAAGGGTTTCTAATTTTCGAGGTCATTTTATATGAGAGTCTTGTTTTCAAACCTCTGAGTTCGGCAGATGAATTTAGTTAGTTTTAAATGCTGTTGATATTATAATTGTTTACAAGTGGAAGAAAAAACAGTTTCGAGTGTAAAATAACATTGTAGAATTAAAAAATTGCATATTGAAAAAAATAAATAAGCTTTTAATTTCATTTAAATCAAAAAAATAGTTTGCAAAAAATTTAATTTTTGTAATTTTATTTATGAAATCTTGTTGTCCAAATTACATCTTTAACAGTTAACAGTTTTATAAATCGTCATGTTCTTTATAACGTACACATAAATTCTTTTTTTTTTTTTTCAGATTTGAAAGTTCTGTTAACTTTTTTTTAAATTATAAAAGCTGTTGCTCCTTCTAAAGTAAAGTATTTTCGCAACAGCCCATTGTGGGCCAAGGGGAGGCTCCATGATTTTATGGCCAACTGCATGATTGAGATAATGTGGTCAGCACTGTGCACAAGCTGCCTTTACTTTTAGTATGCCTGGTACACATCGTTCTGAAGCTGAGTATGCTTCTAGTCGCCATTGGGAATCGCAACCTCAGTTCTTCATATTGACAGTTCAGTGCCTTGACCACTAAGCCATTGCAGGGATGCTTCTTCTTCTAATTCTACAAAGTTTTTTTATAAGTTTTGGCATATTGTACAATTTATTTCTTATTATAGTACAGTTTGCAAGCGTTTCCAAAAGTTACACAAAACTCAGAAATCTTCAAAAATTTTAAGAAATAATTAAAACTGAGTTCTTTAATTGGTCAGTAAAAGGAGAAAAATAATTCAATTTTCGCAACTATTTAAATAAAAATCGTGGTGTAACCACGAGGTTGACCCCATGTCATTTTTACAAAAACGTGGGAAGAATTATCGGAGGCGGTATGTTTTGAATGTGACAAAAATAGAACTATATCCTCCTTTTCAATCCATCAAAAAAAANAAAAAAAAAAAAAAAAAAAAAAAAAAAAAAAAAAAAAAAAAAAAATTATATATAAATGTGCATTGAGCTATTGATTTCTTTTTCAAAATACATCTTTCTTAGAAACGTTATCGTGATTAGAAACACGTTTTATTTGTTAAAAATGATTCCTTTACAAGCATTCGAGCAAAAGTTATTTACTTGCTTGTCAAAAATATTTATGAACTTTAGTAGCTAATGAAAAATAAATGAAAAAAACCCCTTTGACTTTGAGAATGACGATGCATTTTTCAATCATGCCTTTACAAATTTTTAAGTTCAGTAATGGCTTTTATTTATTTTATTTTTTTAAAGTGTTTTTGGGGGCTAGTTTTTTTCTTGGGAAGTTTTGAAATCATTTGATTTGCAACAGCTATACGTATAATTCATTCACTAAAAAGTTCGGTTGGTACAATGTAGATGATAATATTAATTATTTTTATTTTTATTGGTAATTTTCTTTAATTATTTATTTATTTTTATTAGTAAGTACCAAAAGATTTATTTAACTTTTATTAATTAAAATTTTTCGAGTTGTTCATTAGCACAAAAACTGAGAAAAATTAAGGACTAATGTTTCGAATGAGTGTAATATTTTATAATACAAAGTTGCAATTATATAAATTAGAACATGAGTATAACAAAGTTATTATTAATTGAATTATTGATGTTCCAAATAATTTGACTTTCCTAGTAAATAAGAATTTTTCATTCTAACACTTAGTTGCTTTTAGTTACTTTTTGTATAAAACAAAAACCTTGAGAAGTCTAGAACATGAGTACAAATCTAACGAATTTGGTTAAACAGTAAGGCTAAGGTACGAATTGAAATACATAGAAACTAAGCAAAATGTT